TAACCAGCGATTATCTTTCTTACTCGCCCCGGGTTGAACGTTGTGCGAGGTCTCCGTTGTACTTCGTGCTATCACCATTCCTTTCCCCTCCAACCCAGGACCGTCTTGCGCTCTGCTGTGGAATCTTTCGATACGCCATCTCTAACGCACTGCGATCTCTAGATCCCCACGACCAGCTATCTCAAGTCCACTCGTGACATCTGCCAACTTCCCTTACGGACAAGCAAGTCCCAGTCCACGAACCGCCGCTTTCCCGACTCGTTCTACTCCAACGCCGACATATCGAGCTAATCAAGAACTTGAGAACAAATCGAGCCTTGTTAAGCAGACCTCATTCTACAGCGATTCCTCAGACGAAGGATCCCCAGAACCTCACAGCCCTAGGTTTGTCTATTACAAGTGGTTATTGGGCGCAATTACCACGACTACCCAGGCGTTACCGCTGTAAACTAACAATCTAATCAGACAGGGCTATGCAGGCAGTACGAATGTTTTGCGAACCGTCTCCGAGCCCATAACTTTAAAGCCTGCTCCAGGCTCCGACTCAACTAAACAACCGGCCATGGCGGGTCCTGTAGCTGCGGCCCAGGCCGAATCTTCTAAAGGAGTCGCTCGGAATTCGTCTATCGACTCGGCGATTTCAGCAATATCGACCAAATCTGGCACAACTGGGACTCAAGATGGTCCCCATGGACCTTCAGAGATTGCTCATCTTATTAAGACAGCAGGCAGCCCCGAGACTCTTATCCAGTACTTGCTGAAAGAAAAGCACTCTCAGTCACAGCAGAACAGCCAGTTATGGCGTCTAGTGGACAAGCAACGCGCCATGATTCTCGGCCTTAACAAGGACTTGGAAAGGGCTTTGAAGGACAAGGAAAAGTATAGGAAAAAGCTAAAAGAAGTTATCTCACTTTCCTCTGCTTCGGTATCACCTCAAGAAAATACCAAAGACGCTGTTGAAGCGCCTGTGCCTTCGCTTCCACGAGTTGATATTGAACGAGCTAAGGAGCAAACCGCACCAGAGTCACCAATCCTTGAAGCCGAAAGTCCGAGAAATTCACCGATCGATATCACCATGGCGCCTTATCCCATTACTCCTCCAGCAGATCAGCCCAGCGCACCACATTCAGCTGTGGGCGAACTCTTGAACCCTGCACATGCTATGCCCAAACCGCAAGACCATGCTTTAGACAAGTACGATCACGAGGCTGAAGAACGGGCCGCTGAGGAGGCAAGGAAGGAGAAGATTGAGGAGCCTCTCAAGGACATTCCCTATAATGTCGCTATCCCTCCATCGCGAAGCCTCCCCAGTGAACCGCCCAAAATGCCACCGCCTAAGCCACCGGTAAACCACCTTCCTACAGTCGCGGTTCTCGAGGCTACTCCTCAACCTGACGAAGGACTGTCCAAGTTTCCGGTGCCGCCGCCGAGGAAGCCACCTCCAGCACCCTTGAAGTTGAAGCAAGAAATGAGAACGCAGCTGAGTCCATCTCCGGAGGATGGTGAGACTGAATCTGATTTCGATGATATCCTGGAAGTTGATAAAATTGTTCACGATCGACGAGGTCGGCGAAGAACGCGAGAAGAGGACGATCGAGATCGAGAGATTATTGCTTTGAAGGAGGCGGCTGCGCGTAGTGCATCCAAGAAGAGTAAGTCAAGCAAGTCCAGTCAACCTGGATCTCCGATCCAAATGCCCCAGGCCCCTGCGCAGGAGCTCGCGACAGCCTCACTCGGCGAGATGCTCAGCGCAACAAAAACAAGGGAAATCCCTGCGCCATTGTTAAGTCCCGGTCTCCCCGCAAGCCCTCGACCTTCAAATTTCAGCTCGCCGCCTTTGTCTCCAAGGTCGATGAATTTTCAGGCTGCGCCATTGTCTCCGCGACCACCTCGTCAACCAATCCCACTACCACCAAACACCCCTTTAGCAACTCCGGCCCCAACACCAGCTAGAGCGACTGGGAAAAACACCGTATCTGAGGAAACGTTGGTATCGCAAAAAAGTCGCACCGTGCAGCAAGAACCCATCAGCCACGCGGATCAACCAACCATCAGAATGACTAGCCCTAGTGAGCGTACAGAAGTCTACAAAGGCCTGGTCACAGAAGAATACCCAGATCTTCTGCTCCCGCCAAATGCTTTACCCTCTATCAAAATTGTAGTTGCATCGTCGCGCATGAAGCCATCTCGAGCGAGTATGATGTCTCTCACACAACTCGAAGAAGACCCTGTGTTTACTCTCGCTATCATCTCGCGATCCGACAATGGCGAGCTTTGGAGAGTGGAGAAAGACTTGGCTTCGTTGACAAAACTTGATCAAAGGCTCAAGCAATGTACATCCTACACAGTCAGAGCTCCGGAACGTTCGCTGTTCAGTGGTCATGCGCCGGCCAAGCTCGATGCTCGTAGGACAGTCTTGGAGCAGTTCATGGATGACATTTTGGATATACCTTTTGACACGAAAACAGCTGTCGAGCTTTGCAAATATCTGTCAACTCATGTTCTCCCACCAAATCTAGACGATTCGGTGTCAATTGGTGATTCGAGCTCTGAGATTAATGGCAACAAGATAGGGCCCGAGGGGCGACCTTGTCGCAGTGGTTATCTGACAAAGAAAGGCAAGAATTTCGGTGGCTGGAAAGCAAGGTACTTCGTTCTGAATGGGCCTCTACTCAAATACTTTGAAGTGCCTGGAGGTGCACACTTGGGCACAATCAAGCTACAGGGGGCACAGATTGGCAAGCAGAATCAGAATAACGACAACCAATCGCCGGTGCGTGTAACCAACGGTGATGACCTGGACAACCAATTTCGTCATGCTTTCCTTATCTTGGAACCGAAGAAGAAGGACACGAGCAGCCACTTCAGACATGTTCTTTGTGCCGAAAGTGATAAGGAACGGGATCTTTGGGTGGACGCTCTCCTCCAATGGGTTGATTATCGTGATCCTGAGGATTCTGAACCTCCACCATCCCGGGGTGGACCTGTTCCGGATCGCCAAACACAAGGTACAGTCACAGGCACAGAGCGTCCTACTGCAGGCAAAGTTCGAAAAGCCCCTGGGAAGCCATACCATCATCCATCAGATTCGGATACACTAGTTGGTGTCCGGTACGATTCTACTCAAGCAGGAGATGCCCCTCAAGTTTCAGGGCCTGCGCGACCCAAGACTTCAGGTGGCATGCCTGAACAACATCACAACCATGGATTTGAGAGCTTTTCCTCATCTCAGAGCAAGGTCATTTCGGGACCCAAGGATCCGCAACCTATATCCGACTTAGGTGCCTGGGGAAACAAACCAAACTATGGCCCGACGCCTGATGAAAAGAAACAGAGGAAGCGAAGTTTCTTTGGTTTTGGACCTAAGACTCGGTCTTCATCTGAAGGTCAAGACTCCTTGTTTGGTGGTAGCGAGGTCGGCGCGAATGCAACCCCACCACAGAGCTCTTATCAAGGGCCTGTGCGACAAGCCTTTGGAGCACCGCTGGCGGAAGCTGTTCGATTTTGCTCCCCTACGGATGTGAATGTACCCCTTCCTGCTGTCGTATACAGATGCATTCAGTATTTGGATTCCAAGAATGCTGTGCTTGAGGAAGGAATCTTTCGACTAAGTGGATCTAACGTCGTTATTAAGCAACTTCGAGAACGGTTCAATGTCGAAGGGGATATCAACTTGTTGACTGACCGTCAATACTATGACATTCACGCCGTAGCCTCGCTGCTGAAACTTTACTTGCGAGAACTACCAACAACAATCCTGACAAGAGACTTGCACATGGAGTTCTTGACAACGATGGAGATTACAGACCATGCTGAAAAGATGACTGCTTTGGGTGAGCTGGTTCACCGGCTCCCTCAAGCCAATGCCACTCTCCTCAAGTATTTGATTGGCTTCCTGATCAAGATTATCAACAATGCGGACATGAATAAGATGACTGTTCGCAACGTTGGCATTGTCTTTTCGCCAACCCTCAACATACCTGCACCTGTTTTCGCGATGTTCCTCCAAAATTACGAGGGAATCTTCGGCATCGATCCTGAGGTTTATGAGCTTCCTTCACCCATTTCTGAACCCGAACTGCAGCGCTTTGAAGCACCGCCGCGATTCGATCTCCCTGCTCGCCCATCAACGTCTGGAAGCTCATCTCCTCACGGGCAAATGCGAAAGGATAACGTTCGAGAACTGCAGCGATCTACTCCGACTCCTCCGCTCCTCGTTAACAATGCTCCAGTGCGAGCTTCACCTCCTTCAAGTGCAACTAGGCCTGGTTATGAATCTCCAGCTGGTGCTTATGATATTGGTTACCGACCACCTTCAGCCAACGAAGGACGTGGTGCCTATGACCGACGTTTCTTGCAAGCTTCACACGAGGATCTCGCTAGCGCCTCCGCAGCATACGACCAAAACTTCGTACCCGGCAACAGACGCCGCGAGAGTGCCATCTTCATGGGTGGCATGATGGGTCCACACCACCAGGGGTCCAAGAGTCGCTTGCGAGAAGAAACGCGATTCTAAACTGTATATGTGCTTGGTTTTCCATGTGTTTTGCTATTGCTACATACCCACTCGTTTCAACATGCGATGATACCATACATACCATACCATATTACTTCATAACGACTTACACTATTAATACCTTGCATCTCGGAGTTTTAATTGGTGATTTGATGAGGATTTACTCTTATATTGGAATGATTGGCACTAGGAGGAGATCGAGCTTTGCCACGAGTTGCCTAGGAGAAGATCAAGATTAGGGACGTATGCTGATGTAACCCATATGGGAACGTCAGCGAAGGAACTTCAACGACTTTAGCTGGAACGAATGTCGTTGATCTGATCTTGAATATTGGCGGTGCCGCTTTCTACTTAGCATGGCGTTGTGGATAGTTTTTTGAGTCAAGATGAGCCTGACTTAGTCCAGAGCTGAAGAATTGGCCTGTCATTAGTTCTTCTTGTCTTTTGAGAAATACTCGAATTCATTCTGTGATTTTGTTGCCGAATCGTCTATTTGAATGTGTGCTTCTAGGCTTTTGCAACATATCCCTTGCTGATGCGCCGCCGACTTCTAGTCAAGGCCCATGCATGATCTCCGCCTCATCGTCCGTGGGCTATCATGTAGACAATGCTAGGATAGATGTGCTTAGAGAGGACTTTTCTAATCTTGTGATAACTGAGAATAACTTAGGTAATGTTAGGGTATTGGCTATCTTAAGACTCTTCTGATATTGCCTCATGCTTTGGTGTTCCTTTCAGGCTCTTAACCTATGAGTTTAATGGCTACCTGCTCAACCTAGGTAAGGTAGGTAGGCAATCCACTTGCCTGCCGGTCTATTAGCCTATCTATTGGATTAACAATTCACCGTAAATCCTGCAAAAGAAGATCGAGGCATTTATGTTCTCGTCGATCCTCATTCGTTTCCTCTTCTCCTTTCGCAGTTTACCCGTCCTTGACTCACCTCTCCAATAAATCAATACTCTTCTTCAACGGCTTTAATCATGGCATTCACACTATATGATGCGACTATCGTCGAGGCTAAACTGGCCCTGGCATCACTGGATCACATCCTCACTGAAGCAGAGAAGCATAGCAATGCAGCCAGCTTCCCAGATGCGCGACTTTACGAAGACATGAACCCGTTGAGCTTTCAGGTCCATGCAGCCACTCGATTCGCCGAGAAGCTAGTCGCCAGGCTCTCTGGAAGGGAGTCTGTCGAGTTTGAAGACGAAGTCGTCACATTTGAGGATATGCACTCGCGCATTCGAAAGGCCCAAGAGTTGCTTGAAAAGGCTGATAAAGACGTCGTGAATCAGCAGGGAGAGGAGGTTGCCCCGACAGCATTGCCATCGGCGGGAACAATGGACCTGCCTGGGAAAGCATTTGCCATGGGAGCGGCTGTCCCTAATATCAACTTTCATCTGTCAATGGCTTATGCTATTCTGAGGAAGGAGGGTGTGCCATTGGGAAAGAAGGATTTCATCATGCCATTTGTTGGCGAGTATATTGTGAAGATGCAATAGAGGCGGGACTACCTGAAGTGATTGAGATGACAATTGACCACCCTACATATTGCTGTTTGGCCTTACGCCTCATGGCCTATATCTATGTCAAAAAAGTCTGCCATTGAATGACCTCTTTGGTCATCCATTTCATGGTCCCATGCTGGTAGGACCTTGGACAAATGTTGTCATTTAGACTTTATCAGAGAGTCTTGTTCTAGCCTTGTAACATATATGTACCGTTGTGATAATGAGTGAAACCGATTTAGATCAAATGTTTGTACACTTCTATAAAATTATTCAGTTGCAAGGAAGATAAGAATCAATCTCACACCGAAGGTCCGGAGGTATGGGCAAAATGCTCCGACTTTTGCTGACTCATTCTCAACCACTTCTCGGAAGCGTCGGAGTCGGCGATAACCTTCGCCGTCCTCTTCCATCGCATCATCAAGACCGGCCTACTAAAGTAACAAGCTCCGATGGAGCTCGACCCTCGTCTTGGCGCAACTGGCGATAGAGCCTCAGCAGTAGCAAATTTCGGCGTGGAGGCAACCTCAAGACCATCGCCAGTCCATCAAGTCCCTCATGGTAATAGTTCTCTAATACCAGTCCACGACGTGCAAGATGATCACAACAGCGCCGAGAACACCCCCAGCGCATCGACCGAAAATCGAGATACACCACAGCATCTAAATCAACAGCTTCACGATACCGAACACGATGGAGATGGAATCGATCCGAAGCGACCGAGGGCTTGCGAGGCATGTCGTGGGCTCAAGGTGCGCTGCGAACCGGACCCCAACGATGAGGGACCTTGTAAGAGGTGCCGGAAGGCTGGAAGGAATTGCGTCGTGACAATGCCAACGCGAAAGCGCCAGAAGAAGACGGACAGCAGAGTCGCTGAGCTGGAAAAGAAAATTGATGCCTTGACAGCGAGCTTGCAAGCAAGAGCGGCACCTGCAGGAGGTCAGGCGCATACGCAGAGCCAAGGTCACGGCTTGGGAGAGTCTCTTGGAAACGTTGCGCCGAAACCACCCAACGATTCCAACACAACTGTTTCTTCTTACAATCACATGAAATGGCGGAACCCCACGCAAACCCCTGCATGGGGATCGTTTTCATCGACACAATCCCCAATGCCATCGATGCCGACCGTGGAACAAACTACAGACCGCGAATCCCCAGCCCAGTCCACGGCAGCACTAGCTACAGCAGTCACTGGGCAGAAGAGGAAGTTCACAGAAGGCCGTGAAGGCTCGACTGAACAGCTTGCTACTGAGGAAACACCGGCCGAAGCTCTGGCGGCTTATCTAACAAGGGCCAAGGGTGGTGATATCGTTGACCGTGGTGTCATCACGATGGAGAAGGCTGCTGAGCTATTTGCTCGCTACAATGACCATATGATTTCACACCTCCCGGCTGTTATCTTCCAACCTGGTTTCACAGCATCCGAGCTCAGAAAGACCAAACCTATACTGTTTTTGGCCATCATGGCAGTGGCCTCCGCTGAGTCACCCATCCTTCAAAAGGTGCTTCAAAAAGAGATGAAGCTCACCTTTGCCGAAAAGGTGATGCTTTCGGGCGAGAAAGGCTTAGAGCTAGTGCAAGCACTCAACGTCGCTGTGATCTGGTATTGGCCACCAGAACATTTTGAGGAGCTGAAGTTTTACCAGTTGGTTCACACGGCGGCTGTTATGGCCATCGATATTGGACTCGGCCAGAAATTGAAGCAACGCCGTGGAATAGTCGTGCCTGATACCTGGCGTCCTAACCCCAGTACCGGACCAGGTGGCCAGAGCCGTCGATGGGCGCCCCCTGATCCAACAAGCATAGAAAGTCGTCGTACATGGCTAACATGCTATTTCCTGGCAACCAACACTTCCATGGCTCTGCATCGACCCAATCTCATCCGCTGGACTCCCTTTATGGAGGAGAGTCTCCATCTTTTGCAGTCGTCGCCGAACGCTGCGCCAACGGATGCTTACTTTTGCCATCTGGTCTGGACACATCACCTTTCGGAGCAAGTTAATGCGCAGCTTTCTCTCGACGACCCAACATTTGAGGTTCATATCTCGGAAACGAGAACACAATATATTCTCAAAGGTCTTGAAAAGGACCTAAAACGGTACAGAGAGAAGGTTCCCTCAGACTTGCTGCAACGTATGTAATCAATAACTCAACCACCGGAATCGTTCACTGACTCAAGTAGCAACTCTTCTGATAAGTTTCGGCGTCCTCAACTTGTATATGCATGAGGTGGCGTTGCAGGCTCGTACAACTGAGCCTCTGCGGCCTCCATTCTCAACAACTTCTCTACAGGAAGGGCTTGTAGGTGGGGATAGACTATCCTCAGCACACATCAGTGCTATATCGGTATGCCTCGGTTCTATCAAGGAAATGCTTGGCACATTTCTGGCCATGGACGTTTTCAGCATACGCTGCTTACCTGTGTTCAACTTTGTTCGGGTTGCATATGCCGTCGTTATGCTCATCAAGCTCTACTTCTCGGCCTCAGCAGCAGGCTCGGAGCTGGGCCGAGTTATTGATAAGGAAGACATGCAAGTCGGAAAATATCTTGACAACCTACTTGACAAGTTCCGCGCAACCGCAGCGGAGGACCGTTGTCGCCCAGCAGCCAAGTTCCTTGTGGTACTTGTTATGCTTCGTAGCTGGTTTTATAGACAAGCTGAGTCGGAGGCCAAAGAGTCGAAGCCGGCTTCTATAGCTTCTGCGATAACACAATCTCCTTCCCAGGCACAACAGCAGCCTCCGCAACCTGCCAATACTTCGGCATCGCAGCCTTCTGACCACGCATCAACGGCCAACACTCCACTTCAACTCCTTTCTGAAGTTGCCACCGGCGCCGGCTCCCGAAACCGCGACTCTTCAGCCAACAGGCATTCGATGGTTGGATGGGGCTCAAACATGCCGCAGCCTCCACAGCCCTTCTTCCACGACACCCCCGACAACAATGCAAGCTCTACAGCCTCCATGCCCTACCACAACGAGCCATTCCCTGCAGATTTGGCTGCTGCAATGGCTCCCGCAATGCCATCACTACCCCCCACAGCGGATGGGATGGGCGGCTACAACTCTGGAGATCTTCTTGACTTTGCAGGCTGGGATCTGGAAGGCATGGGTATGGGCATGGGATCGCAAGGGATGTGGGAAGATGGGATGCGTATTTTCCTCGAGGAGCCCTGGTTTAACACGATGTTTCAAGGCAACCCCCCAGTTGGCAACAACGCCATGAACTTCTGATACCCTCCCATAAGTCATTCTGCTGACAAAAATAGCTATTGGCGGCTTATCTTTCACATTTGTCAATTTAGACTTTGACTGTATATCTAAGCAGCCACGTCAGACTACGCTTAGCTTTCTGCACAGGTACTCAATCAGAAAGCCCCAACGCCTTGATGTTTGCATCTCGAACGGTCGGCTCACGGAACGCACCCCCCGATATGCACGTGGGCTGCAGCTTCAAATGCATGTTTTAGGTGCATTGGCGCCAGTATAAGATTTGCATGTACTCGAAGCGGTGTGAGCGTTGCTTGCCAGTTCTTTGAGAGAAGAATGAACTTACTGAAACATTATTCACATGCTTTTTAGCCAGGAGTCTGGAACTATGTATAGATGAGATTATGGACTATTAATTACACACTTCTAATAGGCGACATATGTTCTATCGGATAGAGGATCGTATTCGATATTTGGATTTGACCGTATAACCTTCTACGAATTCCTGATACTACATGATACTAGTTGATAAGATTACTCAAGTTACGAGTTCTTCGGGAGGACACTTTAATTATGATGAGACCAATTCCCATTCATTCTAGCTGTGGTCTATCACATCATTGATACTGAACGCCCGGGCTGTCATCCGCTCCGAGTTCCATAATCCTATGTTCTTGGGTCCCGGTCCGTGATTGTAAAGACATCACCATGTCCCTCAATGTTCCTTGATTCGAAAGCGTTGATAGCCCCTATCCTCTTCGTGCACCATTTCCACCTGGTTCCTGGTTACAAATATTGGCATACCTGTGCTCGTAAACGAAGCCATAACGCCAACAACTTGATCAAGTTCAAACATTCCCTATGCTCGCTCTTTTCGTGATTTATAATTCGAAGTTTCCCTCCCACCGTCCTCCAACGTCTTGTTTCAAAATAACCTGTGACCACTCCTTATACGCCTTTGAAAGTTTGATACAGCTTGCATGTTTTGTGGCCAATTTCGCATTTTCCGTAGATCCCGCTAGAAAAGGTTGATTGCAAAACACCAAAAGCATAAAAAAGTCAGAAGCCATGTTTTCAGCGAGAGATCTCCTTCAAGGGAACTTTGCTGAAGATGGTAAACCATGTCAGGAACAACATTGCGCAGTGAAGCTGGAATTTGAAAGGAATCATACGGCTATTAGGAGCGTCGGACAATTGTGGCAAAGTGGGCGAATCGTCATTGTTGGTATCATCATCGTCGTCGTTATCATCTTCAAGTGAATGTGTATCTGAGGCATGGATGCGCTCAGTCCATGTAGAAGTCACCCTTCAAAATTCTCTCCTGAAAAGCATCAGGCTTGGGTCGTTCAGGCTGTCTAGGTTGCTGCTTGACAGAAGAGGCCTGGACAGGAGGTTGCGGCATCTCAGAAACAGATTTTGCCCGGTCGTGAATGGAGCCTCGGGGCGGGGAGGAGGAGGCGAGCGAGAAGGAAGTGCGAGGAGCACCGATGACGGAACTCTCGGCACGAGACCTAAGCTGCTCGGACCAGTTGAAACCTTGCTGGTCTGGGCGCGAAATATAATTGTCAGATGTGGCTCTTGCATATTTGGTGTTGCTTGCCTGTGAGACAGAAGAAGCGAGACTGGGGCGACGTCCGGCAGACAAAGCTGCCGCGAGGCTCGACCCTTGACTGGGGGAGCCAACAAGCGACGCCTTCCGACCACTTGGGACGGGGCGCCCGTTTTGAGAAGTGGGAGGAGAGGATGGGCTATTACCATTTCCAGGGCTTCCATTTGGGCGAATGTTGCGCATGTTCGAAGTGCCGAAGCTCATTCGTCGAACAAATGGTGTTGTGGGTGCAGTCTTGGAGTACATGTCGTCATCTTCGATGGCATTCTCATCAATAGAGTCTGAGTTGTTTGAGTTTGTCGACATGCTGCCTCGACGAATAAAAGACGTGTTTGTGGGCGAAGTACCCGAAAGACCAAGTGTGGTAACAGAGAGACGTCGACGACCAGTGTCAACTGGACCCGAGGGCTGATTTGAAAAGCCGTTGCTGTTGGGAACTGAATTCCCTCTTTGAAAAAGATTGGTCAATGCGGCCTGGGTGATTGACCCTCGTCTGTTGCGTGTGTACATTTCGGCGTTGTTGTTATTGTTGGGGGGTGCTGTGTCTGTAGACATGATGGGCAACTAAAGACGACGGTAGTCGTCTGTAGTTATAGTTTTGAGGATGTTGTGATATGGGGAGATATGCGAGGTAATGGCGCCAGAGTGGTTCGAGAATGGCAGCAACAGCGTTTCACGTGAATTTAATGGTGGGATGGTGTTTAGAGAATTGTGGGCTGTCGAGAGCGGTTTCTAAGAGGCGAACAGTCATAAAAATGAGAACAAAGAAGCGGCGATAGAATGAGTAAAAGGGGGGAAGAAAGAGAAGAAGAAAGAGTTTAGAAAACCGAGATGGGAACGGGGGGAACCGAGGGTTGATAAGGACGGACAGTGATGGGTTGGTGAAGAGGATGAAATGGGGGTCAGTCAACTCTAAAACAGGGGAGAAGAGACAGCTGGTTAGCGATGAGAGATCGCCGTTGCCGGTTTGGGTAAAAGGCAACCTTTAGGTCAACGTTGGAGGGGGAATCGGCAGTCAGCGGCAACTTGAGAATCGAGCGAGACCGGCGCAACACCATACCAAAGGTATCAGTGTACTATAGTCTACTACCTAGGCCACCAAGGCCAGAATCGAGGGTCGTAGGTCGTCCGTCAGTGAAGACCAGGATCCAAGACGGATGGTAGCATTCAAGAATTGACCAGGGGCCTTTGGTTCGTGGACCACTTTGGTAGGTATGCTCGTTTGTCGAGCTGACGCCGGTACATGCAGTCGCGGCTAGCTTCAAGGTTGTTTTGTGATGGGGCTTTTCAGTGACGGATGAGACCTTTGCTAGAAAGATGGGGCAAGATGAAAGGGAAATGGCTGCAACGTGTAGATTGAGTCCGGGGGCGGAGTGACGTAGTCGCTATAGAGTGGGGTTTCCCGCCGGAATCGGGATCAGGGTTGGTCAGGCTGTTCAAGGATGCCTGGGGCAAATCTGCGCTGTGGGTTACTAAACAGCACTGTAATGCCTGAATGCTCAAGGGTTCATCGTGGAGGGTGTCCCCTCCCGAAAGAAATGGAGAATGCTCTGGGGCTGAACCCTTGTCTCTTGTCGCTTACCAAGTTCTGAACACGAGGCTAATGGCTTGTCTTGGTCTGGGTGTATCTGATAACCAATCTTGATATAATTTCTCGGGCTCAAGTAGCTATCGGAACCCGTCAATTTGACTTGACTTCGTGATTCGGAGACCTTGTTTGTGTAATAGTTGCTGGTAGACTCCTAGAGTCCGTTCGATAAGATCTGATGTGGACAGCAGAAGCAGTAACAGCGTACGCAGACGGACTGATGTGGAAGAACTGCTAGTAGAGTAGGCTATAGAATTGAGAATTGATGATCTCTATTTCCGCAATGTTTCGTTGAGGGAGTGCGGATGTGTCAAGGTAGTAATTCACAGTCAACAGGGGGCCTATGAGACAGAGCACTCACCCACCCTGGTTCAACTTTCTCGTCTAATCATACCATGCATTCCATTTCGAAGACCGTTGCGGATACAATACCAGAGAGCCCTCTTGGGGCTGGACCAAGCATTTTGAGCAGCCAGGGAAGGTCCTAAAAGGGCAATGAAGCAGAATTGGAAGGGAGGTTGTCGCTGTTAGTTCTATCCGCTCTCCAATGCAACCGAAGAGCTGTGTCCGCAACTGACAAGCTTCTTAGCCTGAACTGTAGCAGCGTAGGTAGCAGCGGTTTCACGGTTGGTGTTTTGCCTATTCTCAGGTAGAGGGGAAGTGAAAGGTGCATAGCTTTCATGAACGTTTCTTATCCAGTCAAGATAACTCACACAGAAGTACCTAAGGGACGAAGCACTACCTACTCTCTTTTTTTTAATCATCTTGTTTATCTCCTTAAGTATCAGTTTCCTCTCACAGGTGCATCAGTTCCTCATTTGATATATACTTTCTCCCAGGTTGTCGTACGCAAACAATATATCTTGCTCTCCTCTGCTTACCTCACATAGGAAACCCATGGAACTTGTCCCTTTTTTTCCCTTTCTCATCAACAGCTATCTATCAACACATCAGCTCTCATACAAGCCCTTTTTCTTCTGGATGACCGAGCAACGAGATCAGATTCCATTTCGGGCACAATGGGAATGAGTTGTCGCCCGACCTTCGAGCTCTTGCAGTTTTTACCTCTTACAGCGGGTCAGGGCACAGTGGGCCCTGTCTCCCCGGCATCTGCGGCTTCACACAGACCATTATTAGCGCCGTTTGACGGCGGAGAAAACGGGGGTGCAAAGGGACCGCGCCGAGAAGCCAATCTTATCTCGAAAAAGGCGCCTCGTAGGGCACCCCAGTGCATAGGTCGACGTCACAAACGGGTACCTACTGGACATGTTTGCCATTTTGCGGGGTAGTGTCTCTAATGAAAAGCGACCAACTGAGACAAACCTTCATGCGTTTTATCGCGGGGATTGCGACTCTGCCTCATAGGCACAGTTCAACTGCGTCAACAGAGATGCGTCGAGTCTGAACGAGGATCAAAAGCCTCTCCGATTTCACTCACACTTTCGCACCAGCTTATCCCAACTCTCTGCTACAGCACGATACACCGACAGACGACCGAGCCAATGATGAACCCGCAATTGGTCGCCCACCAACCACCAACTGCATGTGCCTTATGTGCCAAACTGAGCATGAAGTCCAGAAACGCGATGGCAACCCAGCGAGCGAAACTCTTGGGCGTTGCTAGCCTCTTTGTCATCAGATGAGCCCATGTGCGACTGCTAGCACAGCAACGCCATCAGTAGATAGTGGTGGGAGGGAGATACGACGTAACTGCAACGTGCACACGAAACACCGTAATCTGCATTAGCTCAGCTTTGGTGCTGAAAAGGTCCCCCCCCGAAGTCTTGAAGATGTGTTGACAGTTCGACTCATGGATCGCTTTCACGGTCCTCGATCTCACGTCCAATCCCTTTTCAGCTGTTGGCAGCCCATCACACCTCATTTTCCTCATTGACATGACTCTTGTCAAAACCTTGCATCACACACGGCCTGGCCCATGCTTTTAGCGTCGAGTATCTTAGATCAAGTGATGCTCCTGTCTGGCTGCTGGTGTTATCTTAAGCTTCAACAACGATCAGTATCGCTTGGGAAATTGGGCACTATGAAACGATGCCACACGGTGGGTGGCAGAGTCGTCATCGCCATGCCATATCCATATTTCGGCAATCATTAGCAATGCTTGCTGCAACCTTTTCATCTCATTTGTATTTTGGGACTATGCTAGGTATGTCTGTAGATGTTCGAGGTACGTTGAAACGTAGAGAGCTCTTTGTTTTTACTTTTAGAAAGACATCTTTATGCCTTTGTCAACATCTTGTCTTTTTAGCTTTCATGCTCATTTCTTCCACCTAGGGCAACCCCCAGACATGAATTGTTAGCCTTTGGACTTCCACAAATGCCACGTTATTCAGGAGGTCTGAACTCGACTAAACACGCACGGTTAAGCTCACTTCCTGCAAACTAAAAACAGCGTAACGGGGCCCTGGCCCGCTGTTTATCGTCTAAAGCCGACCTCCAGATGGCGAATCATGGGCTGAGAATATTACCCCGCGTCCGCCCACATGCTCCCGAGACCGGCTCACGGCATCCTCGGCCGCTGAGGTGCATTGATGTCCTTGGCTTTGACTTCGACTTCGACAGCCTGTCTGTCTATCTTGAGCTTTTAGGCGGGATTCTTCAATCCCTCGACACCCTCTTTGATGTAATATGTGTTCGATGTTATTCTCCCAACACTACCTGTGCAGTGTTGAGTGTCACCACGCTTTTGCTGTTGATCAATGGCGATCGGTTGTTCTATACTCCTCTTGGGATGCATTGGTTGCTCCTGGATAAACTCCGTTTGGGGTGGCAGTTTTGTGGCTTTGTTAAATTAAAAGCAGCTATCCATAGACAAAACTTCACATACTGCATTGCATTGTCTGGGATTCAAGACCCGGAATTGAGGGAACGAGGTTGGGTCTTGGCCAACACACCACCAAGAGATTGGCGAACTTGGTGGCGGCCATAGCCACCTGTGAGTGCAGAGATAGCGCCAAAGAGGGGGATGGAGAGGCTAGGAAGTTATCCACAATGCCGCAGCTTGCAGCCCACAGCCGAACAATGGATTTACTGCACTGTAATACACACTAGCTCAATGGTAGGTCTGTCCCTGGAGGTGGGTGGGGGATCACATCGTCAACATCAAGCCCACCCATGTTCTTGAAGGTCTGGACCTCGGTGAGCATGTCGATCTGATTGAAACCATCCAATGGATGTGCTTGCCAGAAAACACTACATAACAGAATGGTTATGTGCTTCAATTGCTGGAATCTGCGGTTCCCTCACCCATTTCTTGTCTCATCCCCATCCCTCACTATTTTCTCACCCGTTTGTTCTCGACCTTTTTCTTCTGTCTCCTGTCTTTGCGATATAGCTCAACCTTTCTGGCCATATTCGTCCCTACTCTTCTAATATTTCGATTGTTCTCTACTCATCTTCAATACTCTCCACTCTGATATTCACCGCTGTTGTTTCCACTCCCACCTTATCTCAACTTCTTCCCCACGCCGCGTGGATTTCTTCGTCCTTCTTCTCACCTTGTCTTCGACCCTCCCTCGCCTGTTACATGCATGGAATATGATCTGAAATCTGCCGCCGGTCAATCGGCCCGCTCCCCATGAGCAATGCACCTCCTCCTTTTGTTCCTTTGACAACATGAGTGACGCTCGGCTTGCCTTCGATTACCGCTCTTTTCGTAGAAACGCCACGCATTTCCAACTCTTTTCAGCACTATCACTCGAATTTGTAACTCTTCAGCCATTTGATAACTCACCACGGAGCAACACATCAACGAAAATCAGTATGTAAGTGGCTGTCGTCACTAACAGATGCAGATACTCTCGTTGTCTCTCGCCTGTGACGCAGCCCTTGATCATCTCCCATGATCGGGCATCAAGACCGCGCATATGACCCAGGCGCGTAGGACCTCGCCATTCCTGGCTGCGCCGGAATTTGTATGATATGATGAAGAAAAGGGCCAAACTGGTATGACTTTGAGGGTGTTGCTGTTAGGGTGACAGCACTCACAAATTGTAGATCCTTTCGGAACGAGCTACACGTAGCAATATCCCCGGCATGGATTCGGAGGACTTGAGGAGGGGAGGATTTGTGTTCGTAGGTTGGGTTGAACATGGAGGTTGACCTTTGTAAATAGGGACTCCGCTGATCCCTCATGAAAGCGAATCTTGTGTAGTCATTAAGGCTCTGAGACAAGCAATGAGAAGATCTTTCCAAGCTAGTGCTCTCCATCGGTGAACTGCAATGCAACCAACTTCATGCACCGAAATTGAACAAAAGGATAAAGTGACAACTAAGTGCTACACATTGGAGATAGATTTGTTGTAACTTGAATAAGTGCGGGATAGGGATCTTCTTATGGTATGATCGTCTTACATAACATATAGCCAAGCTTAGGGTCAGAATTTCATGTATCTAAAATCAATCTCGAGCTTAGCATAATATGTTAGTAGAATATTTACCATATGACTCTAGTCTTTGATATATTTGCAGGTCAACAAATGGTTGAAGGTTTCGGCTTTTCTCTCGCTCTTGGAGCTTCAGGGAAGACAGACTTGCCCAGTTTCTGTCCTTTAAGGGGTTCGATGATCATACCATCTTTGATTCAAGAACATCGATGTTATAATGCTGCATGTCTCTGAATGCGAACTGCTCTAACATTATCAGCATTGCCAATGATGACTTCAGTCTGCTACAGTGCTGCGGCGTTACTACATAAATCATTCAACGCAATTGCGTCTCAGCGTCGCCAAAAAAAAAAAGTCGTCATGTCTACTGCTTAACAGCAATGTTACCTGACTTCCATCGTCAAACATAATCTTCTATCGCAATGAATATGGCTTGATTCACTGCGGCTTTACACAACCTCCGTTCTTCTTTGACCACACAATCCACATACTCCACAATCGCCAGCATTGCGATACTGCGTAGTTTGACACGCGTCGCTCGAACATTCCCACGAGCTTGTTGTTGAGGAATCCAATACATTGGCACACATTGCACATGTAAGTGCTAAATTGGGGTTGTCGTATGAGCACATGGAGCAGGTTCCGCCAGAGCGTGCCTGATTGCTCGTCGAGGTGACTGGCTGAACTGAACCTTGAGGGGGTGAGACTTGGGATTCGTTTATGGCTTTTGCATTGTTTGCCGGGTTGATAGGTCTTGATGTCGTTGGTATCTTAGGCTGTTTAGATTCTTTGGTAGGTTCTGCCTTGATAGCACTGGCAGGTGGCGCTGATGGTAATGGCTGGATGTTGAGAACTTGAGACCTAGGTTCTTGAGGTGGTTCTATAACCTGTGGCTTAGGTGACTCCCTCTTGATGCCCCTAATTATTCTTTGAAGTTCCTGACTCTCATCTCTGGATCCAGGATCATCTGCATCTTCGTCTTCACAGACTTTGACCATGCCGCGGCCTTGCCCATCAAGCAGTTTCTTACCATTGACATCGACAGCGCCCTTAAAATCTTCCCCAGGCTCATCCTCAAATTCACTGCCACTCCCGGAATCTATCTCGTCATCATCTTTAATGGGCTCAGGTTCTGTCTTTTGCTTTTCGAAGCGAGCGAGTGCCGCCGCCGCCCGGAGCTCGCGTCCCCTCATGCTTCCAGCAACTCGAGGCTTTGCTTGGATCTTCTTGCCACTCTCCAACTTGACCTTTTCTTCTTCGTCGGCACCGAGAGCGACCCCATTCTTGCCAAACTTCTTCAAGATTCGTCTTTCCTTTCGTTCTTGGTAAGATAGTTGTGGCTTGACCCGTCTCTTGCGACGTGATCTGTAAGTACCTCCGCAGAGATGCTCTGGTAGAACCTCATCAGCAAGCACGCTATTCTTTTCCCATTCACCAGTGGCAAGATTGGCACCTCTTCCCCAGAGGCCGTCTCCGGTATAGTTTTTGGACCATAGCTCGTGCATCTGAGAAGCATACAAGTTTCGAACGGTCCAGAATGCTCTCGAATGATTCATTTGCTTGCAATGTGCCAGCTCGTGCATCATGACCATCTGCACATAGTTGAACGGTAGCCAGCGGCCAGTGCTGGGCGACTTCAGAACGAGTTGAACGACTTCGCCTGCGTTAAAATTTCGTCCAACGAATTCACGATTTGGTTCGTACTCTTCTAGAGAAGTAACGTACAGGTAGTTTTCTCGCATAATGGGACCTAATTAGGACAAATATCAATACCGTATTACTGATGCAGGAAGTCGGTAGACTCACGACATTGTGCTGCTATTCTCTCAAGAAAATCCTGGGCTATCTGCTTGTCTGGGCCCTGTAAAGGCTTGATGAAGACAATGTTAGGATTCGGTTGCGATTTCTTTTCATTCAGCCGCTGATACCCAGCAACCATGTTGCTTTGAAGTTACGGGCAAGAAATGGATTGCTTGCAAATGTGAGCACGTATTTCAGTTCCGAACCGTCCTGGTAATGGTTATGTAGTACCTGGAGCCCGGTAGAGTGAAGGTGAATGACGCACAGGGAACCCGCAACTGAAAGACGCGTAAAGTGGAAGACTCCACACGCGACGCCACGTGACTGACTCACGACATCAAATCCGCGGCCACTCAAACAACCTAATCAGCGAATTGTTCTAGTCTTGTATTACAATAGTGTCACTGATCTCATTATAAATTGCCTGAGGAACTTTGCGATAAGAGAAGGGAAACCATCGAGTATTTATAACTAAAACGTTCAAGGCCTATACGGGACTTCAACTAACATAACAGCTCATTGTCAAACTCTCAAAACTATCGTCAAAGGCTAAGGTCTAGAATGTACATTCTCGTTAGAATCTTGGACTAAGAGGCCTATATTCCCGGGCTCACCTAGCCTTCAAAGCTTGAATCTTGTTTTGATATGAAGAACTCTTGTCGCCAAAAGCAACATCGATACTTATTGCCATCTGCTTTCAACATAAGCACATTTGGGTCCTCCACACTTGGTAGTTGAATAAGTTAAAGATATGCATCAATTCCTGATTATTTCCATTCGTATTGACGCAGAGAGCTGTAGAGTCTGAGGGTTTCAGTACTGAAGTCTCGTCTTCGTCCTCTCTACCTCTCGCTCGCTCTTTGCTTCGTCATTTCTTTGGCTTCCCTTTTCTCCTTTCACGTCGAACAAGAACCTCCCTGGCTAAAATACATATGCAACCTTCTTATACCTAAATCTTTAGTTTTATTCATCTTCCGAATCTTGAGGGGGGTTTTCTTGAAGTTCGAGCAGCTCGCTTCTGGTTGAAGCGATGACCTCCTAGTTTGAGTTGGGTGGTATAATAATTGAGAAGAGGCTTCAAGCCTGTAAGAACAACAGACGAAATAGAAGAAAACCGGCAATGCATACCACCTAGAATAGGTAGCTGCACCCCAGGGAGTAAGAAAATTTATGACTTTAAACTAGGATGCCAAAAATAACGAGGTAGTCTAAAACTACTAAGTTATATTAAATTTACCTAAAGCTTTTTATTATTTAGGATAATAATCTTAAGTTTTCTTGCATCCCAAGGAGTGCTTCTTCCCTGGTAGTACATGTCACTTTTTGCTATTTGCCAGCTGCGTGCAGTTGTATAAACACCTCGACACTGTCCATGTGCATTCACCAATGTGAGGTGCGAAACCTTATATTTTCTTCTATTATTATTAGCTATTAGGTTTAGCTTTCTTCACTTCTTAACCTCCGCCAACTGACCTGCTCTCGCCACTTCTCTTCAACTGTCCTTTGCTTTATTTCCACACAGACCGTCATTCTGAGCAGGACGGCAACTGAAAGAGTTCACTCTCTTGTCTACAAATTTCCATATCTCACTCTCTCAAACCGAATGATACCTTTTATCTGCTTCGCGTTTTCTTGAAGCAACACACTTTCTCTGGCACAGGATGTGCGCTTGCCATAATGGCACCTCATGAGATGTCGATTTCACTACATCTCACTCTTCCGGTCGGAGGTTACGAAGTCACAGTGACGAACTCAGATGATATTGATAATTCCTTCGTGACTTTCATTTGTTAAGTTTTAACGTCAGATCCTAGACACTCGAGTATTTCACAATAAGATCGAGTTTCCAGCACACGCCACCCCTGAGCCTGGAAACTCTACGATGCAACCTACCACAAGCACATCAACGTCATTTCCGCTATTTATCAAGCTTCCAAGAGAGCTTCGATGCGAGATCTGGAAACAATCCATAAAGAACGAGGCAAGGGTGTTTTACCCAAAGTTCTATGACGATGATCACGACTTACAGCAAGTCAACTTTCCTCACAAATTACCCTCCATTCGTCAAGTATGCTGCGAGGCTTACCAGGCGTCCCAAACTTGTGGTATTTTCATCTTTGGAAGACTCAAAACAATCCGAAAAGCGCCTTGGTTTGGAATATTCAGCGATATCATTCACGACCCTGACGACCCTGACGACCTTGACTACGACTTCGAACGGCACTTCAACCCTAACGACGCTTACGACTATCAGAGAGTTATGCGTGTCGCTCGTAAAATTGCAGTGGATTGGCGTCGTGGGATGATAGTCAGAAATCTCCTCGCACGGGTGGCACGTTCGTATCACCATTGTCAGACACTCTTCTTGGTTTTTGGTCGGTACAATGAGCCCTCCGGCGACGTCACCTTCTTTACCATCCCGGACAATGAAATCCTAGAGTGGGGTATAAAGAAAGAACATGAGACGTGGGGTGAAATGAAGGAGGAAACCATGAGCGCATGGAGGGATGAAGGATTGCTCAATGAGCTCGGCATCACAGAGGCAACCCTCCCGAAAATTTAGGCCGTGGAGGCTCATTCTGTTCGTAAGGGATCCAGAAGATGAATAATCTACAGTATGCAAGCAATTCAGCTAGGAATCGCGGATTCAACTAATGATGCTTTTCAACCCCAAGTTCTTCTTTACCAATGTTCTTGATATATGTCGTCGGATATCGGCCTTCTCTCAGTTGGCCCCAGAATAGTAGAAACTGTCAAAGTTTTAGCCATGTATTATAGATAGTCACTTACAGTGAATCGGCTCATGCTTGAAAGGTAGTCCTTAGGGAGCAAGAAAACTTCTGACCTTTAACCAGGGTGCCAAAAATAACTACATAGGTAGTCTAAAAGCCTACAAGTTATACTAAAATTACCTCAATCTTTTCATCACTTAAGATATAGTCCTAAGTTTCCTTGTCCCTTTCACGTTTTGACATGGCGGGATGAGGGCGACACAAGTGAGGGACAATATTTGCGTCGTATATTTTGATAGCCTAATTCAATCCTGAACTTAGAATCCATCAATTATGTGGTCTTCGGTTGTGATTATTTTTGTTGGACAATGGACTTGTAGTTTAAAGCTCTCATAAAAGTGACATCATAAGCCGTAACACCAAGCTGCCAATACCTCATCGATTTCGATCGATTGGAATCCAGTCAAATAAAACCCGGTCGACAATTCATTCTTAAAAAGCTGCATCATTTCACATATTCTTCTTCTTCTATCAACCTGCGGGACCTCTGCGTAAAACTGATCTGATCTGATCAACACCCCGCGACTCACAGATCCATCTCAATTCCCTCAACGTCTCAGCCTCAACTTTCATTATCTCATCACATAACTCTCTTGCGATGTCGGCTCAAGATTCTGTCCCAAACATGTCTTCTGCTACAAAAGATGTTATATCTAGGGTGCGGCGCATGATTCCGCCAATGCTGGAGAAATTTCACAAGGGTTTGTTACCAAAAGCATTCATTCTAGATGATTGAAGGCTGACGCAAGAACAGGCCAGTTGGGGAGAGTCGCCGTCATCGGTGGCAGTGAAAATTATACAGGCGCACCCTACTTCTCAGCCATGGCGAGCGCAAGGCTGGGCTCTGATCTGGTATGATGCTCTCATACTTTTCTTGATGATATAGTCTGGCTAACCACGGCTCTTATATGTAGTCTCATGTCATTTGCACACCCGCCGCTGCGACTGTTATCAAGTCATACTCGCCAAACCTCATGGTCCACCCGCTGATGCGACAGAGCGAAAACGCCAAAAAAGAACACGAGCCTGCGGCTTGGAATGCTTCCAAGGATCCCGAGTCCAATGCTGACCACATCGCGGCACAAATCAAAGACCTACTGCCTCGGCTCCATGTCCTCGTCATCGGCCCTGGTCTGGGCCGTGATCCTCTGATGCATGCCACCGTCGCCCGCGTGATCCGCGCTGCTCGCGAGCAAGAGCTCCCTATTGTGTTGGATGCTGATGCTCTGGCGATCGTGCACACGCAACCCGAGCTGGTGAGCGGTTACGACGGTGCTGTACTGACACCCAACGTTGTCGAGTTTGGCAAACTGTGCGACGCACTCAAGGTCAAGGTCGATGACAATGCACCTGAGACCGCTCGCGTTGAGGCTCTGGCGAAGACTCTAAAGGGTGTGACAGTGGTTCAGAAGGGTGCCAAGGACTATATCTCCAATGGTGAAACCACACTGACTGTGGATCTTGAAGGTGGTAAGAAGAGGAGTGGCGGACAGGGAGACACTCTAACTGGTTCTATTGCCACGTTCCTGGGATGGAGGAGAGCCTACCTCGACCGTCTTTGGGATGTCGGCAAGGATCCCATCGGCGAGCATGAGTTGGTTGGGCTTGCGGCCTTCGGTGGCTCTGCCATCACAAGGGTATGTCTTTTACACCTTTCCCGACTCAAGCGCAGGATCGGCACCTTTGGCTGCCATCGTCTCAAGCTTTCCGCTTAGAGGACGAGCCCCTGAGTTCTATGGTTCCTAAAACATCATACTGACATTTTCTTCTAGGAATGCTCTCGCCTAGCCTTTTCCAAGAAGGGACGCAGTCTACAGGCAAGCGACTTGACTGACGAGGTTCACATCTCGTTTCTCAACATCTTTGGCGAGGACGATGAGGTAGACGAATCCAAGCTGTAACGATAATTACGTCTCCTTTACATTGATGACCAAGCTACAAATATATGATACAAGTAATCTGATAGTGTTATAAATGTATACTGTTGCTTATGAGGTGATTTTAGGTATTCGGCATGACATTCCTCTGCCAGCAATAGTGCCAACCTGGCGCCAGGAATACGCTCAAAGAAGAATGCAAGAAAAAAGGATACGTTAACAAGGGGCCGTTCATTCTCATTCAACTGCCATTTACTAAGCCTCCGGGAACAAAACAACCGCATCGTATCGACACTCACAAACCCCTTTTAAGGCTGGCTGGCCTTAATTCAACCTTCAGTTAGGAATATGTGCCGGAACATGATGCTTATCAAGTAACTCAATGAGGCAATAATATTTGCAGTTTATGTATATAATCTTTAGCCATTGCTCCGCGTCAATCCTGACTGTAGAACCTATACATCTATGATATTAGTAAGTCACCAGGATGGAATCAATAGAAGGAACTGCAGTATTCTATAATCTAAACACTCAATCTCTCTCGAATGCATCACATCGATAGAGAACTGGTTCGGTACCTTATTTCTCGGGGCGAATATGTGTTTCTGATACCACCCTCTTATTCCTGCACATACTCCAGCACAAGCTCAAGGGTGGTTGGTTTCATCGCGAACAGGCACAACCTCCACTGCCTCCAATTCTGGCGGACCACTGCTGCTATAAGTTGGCCATGAATCACGAAGTTGTGGTCGGATGTGTCCCCAGTGAAACCAGTCTTCATCGTATTCAATGTTCATGTCATCATCGTCCTTGACTTTGGTAAACCGGGCATCTGTATCAGGCAGAGGATGGTGCCTCATGACAAACAAAACCTTCCTGCAACCCGGAAACATGCGCCTAATATCGTCCATTACCTCTTCTATATCCGTTTCATCTCCACCGGGCCAGTCCACTGCTACATTCTAGACATACAGTATGTCACTGCCAGGGACGTCCCATGTACAGACATCATCCCTGTTCCAGTAAATAATGTCTATTGAAGGCAGGAACCAAAGGCTTTTGTATACGCCGATGTTTTGGCCGAACAGCTGCAAAGCTTCGGCCTGGAATAATGCCCTTGATTCGCGACATGCTTGGGCGGAAGCTGGGGCTTTATGGGGGATTATAAAATGCAACCATATTATGTCCCGGTCCTCTGACGTTGGGGCCAGTCGTAAGATTCTTGGCTCTCGTAAAGACAATCCAAGTCATTGTTCGCAGCTCAACGGGAAGCTTATTGAACTTGTGGAATGTTGTAGTAGCGCAGTTTGTCGTATCAAACTCTTTGCTTGTTTCACCAATCTCAGCTTTTAGATGCAGTATTCGGCGTCCTACCAAAGAAGTTAATATATAATAATGTGATAGAGAGAATTAGACCAACCATCTTGTGTTGTGAAGTTTACATCGAATGTTCCAGATACTCTTGGGAAGAGCGACTGAAGCTTTTGGAACGGCGATATCACCGCTTTGTAGATCTTGGAACTCAGCGACTGAGTTGGTACTAAAGATGGCCTTGCATTGTGTCCTTGAAGCAGAGGGTCAAAGTCAATCAAGGGTTGTCGACTAGACATCGTGTGCCAGGCGGAAATTATGCACTGGCACCCGAAGGCGCATACGTTGAGGTTCAAGTTGAGAAGAGGCAATGAGCTGTGTCAAAAGATGAGGAGAATATTGCCAAATGCAGAAAAGGGGGGAAATGAAGAGGCGTGCTCACGAATATTTGAATTGGGTTTGGATGACAAGTTGGCAAGAGCAGGTGTGCAGCAACTGCTCGGTAGGCAGTTGCGATCCAGGACGGGCAACCTCTGTCTGTTCATGAAAACAGTGAACACTCACATGAGAGTTGGCAACAGAGAATTGAGATAAATTCAGGCAAATTGTTAGGCTACATCAGTCTTGGAATGCTACAATCTCTTAAGTTGCCTTTCCATACATAAGGAAACTTGTTTGCTGTCACTACGCTCAAGAATGGGAAAATGGGACGTTGATGTAGCGCTGTTTCTTCAGCCGCCAAGTATCAAGAGGGGGTGGCATTAACTTGATAAATCTCTTACAAAATGGTCTGGGACCTTGTCACATATCAGGAATAGATAGATATCTATGAAGAAGTTCAGTGTTCGTTCGGTTTATCCTCACTCTATCTCATATTTAGTCATTTAGGGCGTAAGATCAGCAGATGAAAGACTCATAAGAAGCAAGCATTGAACAGTTTCCTAAAATAAAACCGCGGCCGTGTTTTCTCTTGCGCAAACAGTACGCCAGTGCAGCAGGTATCCGCTCGAGGGCGAATCACAATAAGCCGGGCCTGAGCGACAGACGGCTGGCAGCTGTTGACGGTCCTCGCAGCCAGGCGAAAATCGTTTATGATTAATATTTCAGCTCCCTGCATCGATCCTGTTCTGAGTTCCATGCGACTCGGACCTCACACAAAAGTGTTATTGTGCATCCTTGGAGTGTCATCTTCGCACCTCTTCCATGCGCTCACTTGCTTCAGCTGGAAAGCCCTCTCTCAGTCAACACTCGCGAAACATTTTATTCAAGACATTCTGGATTTCTCTCTCTTTTTATTGCAAACCAGTCGCCATGGAGCATACCTCCATAGATGGGCGGCGAAGGAACAAAACGTCAGTACCGGTTCTATATCCGTCGCGCAAGTCAGAGACAGATGCAACACCCTCCCTTCGACCAGCTTCACCTCCCAAGAGTAACCCATGGGCTCCAGCCAAAAAGCCTCCGATCATTTCTGCCACGGGAATATTTCCGCCTCTCCCTAAACCTCAAGCACCATGGTCGCCAGTCAAAACACCTACTGCCGATATCTCGAGGGCTTCCTCGCTTTCTCCAGGTAAAAAGAGATCCGGAGATGATACAGCATCAGGTGCGCTTGCACCTGGATCAACCTCCCCTTCCTCCATCACGTCGTCCTCGTCTCGCCATATTTTTGAGGCCGCAGCACCACGAGCGACTTCAAAGTGAGCTGATCCCTCTGTGTTCACCTGGTACCAACAACTGACCGCTTTTAGTCTTTGGAATTGCCCTTTCGGCGCTGATGTGGTGGTACGGTCAGGGAACTTAAGCTTTCGAGTCCATCGCAACATTGTGGTACCCCAGTCAGGCTGGTTCCGTGATAACCTGCCACCACCAAACACGGTAAGCAACTTCTCTTCCGGTCTATTTGTGATTATACGAACTGACAACTCCAGGATGGGACACCGGTTACTGTGACTATAAGTTTCGCTCCTGAAACGCTCGCTCATTGTTTACGTTTCATTTACACCGATAGTACGTATCGGCTTTTATCCAACTTGAAGAAAGGGACAGGAACTGATACGAGACACAGAAGTTGAGATTTGCGAGATCGATAGCCAAAAGCCCTGGAATGCTGCGCACATTCCTCGTTGCATCTTGGCGTATACCACTGCTGTATACTTGCGTATGGCCAGGATGGCAAGCCATCTTCTCCGTGTGATCGAGAGTACTTCCAGCGAACTTGGGGCTCTAATACGTAGAGATCATGTTTCTCAGAAGCTAGACTGCTCCCAATGGGTCCAATTTTCGTGGCACTATCAGGGTGCACTGGATATCATCATTCGGGGACAGCCTCAGAAGCTGATGGTGCCCATGAGGCTAGCTATGGCAAGCATCCTTGATGCTGTGCTCTTCTGGGTGGTAAGACATCCCCTTTTTGCCAGCGACCTGAAGGCGTCGTGGCAAAGGATGTTGCAGAATAGTATGCATGATATTGCTGAGTACAAGCAGCTGTGCAGAAGTGCCCATCTATTCAACAGTCCGTTGCCAGATGAGTTGGCATTGTTGGAGCTATTCGAAGAAACGAAAGCAGAATGGGAGCCACCAGAACCTTCGAAGTCAGTGGGTACACAAACAGACAATCCACCTGACCAAGAATTGAAAGAAGGCCAGACGACTGATTTCCCTTTCACTCATCGTGAGAGACGCGGCTCGCTATAACCATCGGTCTATTGCTTGCTTGAGGACATCAGGGCTAACTACTCAATGAGATGTCATGAGAACAAGGGACACAATATCTTTTCTTGGAGTTCTGGCTACAGCGAACTATCTTGTAGACAGAAGAGTTAGAGCCATTGATACTGAGTGGCGGATCTTAGCTATTTGTATCAAGAAATAAAGGCTGGTGTTGGCAATGATTTCCAAGGTTAAGTGAGAAACACTGTTAGGCCGGGTGGAGGGTTAAAGAGACGAAGAGCTCATGGTAATTACTTACGAGAAAACAGGCGAGTTCTGAAAATTATACCCAGAAAGTTGTGCCCTCTAGGCTTTGAACACTTTCGTGACAGTATCGAGACTGGCATCGTCGCACCACTGTGCATAGAGTCGCGGTGGGATATTCATGGTCCAACATCTGTCAGGGGTCTAAACAGAGTAGATATTAACTTCCATATCCTCAAATAGTTAACAATAGTAGAATCACTAAAGTGATCTCCTTCTTTCCAACCGCTCTTCCTAATTTGTCTGGTGGCCAGAGTATCAGCCCTAATACCTAGGATATCAAGACGATGGCAGTGAATCAGAGTGTCAATCAATCTGACGGTAGATAGCATATAAAAATCCCTTCATTATTTGCTCTTCTTCTTCTTCTTCTTTTCTAATCTCTCTTCCTGAGTTCTCAGGCATTCAGAATGCGGCCTGATATAGAAACCCCTTTCATGGCCAACCTAGCTTTCAACTTTCTCTTCCTTTTATTATCTCTAATTCGAAGTCGCCAGCTGATCTACACTGCCAAAGGGCAACGCGGCTCCCGGTCATCGACAGAACACCATTGACCGGTATTGCTCTCTCGTTTTCCCCAAACTTGAACCTCTAACCAACCATCAGGCCAAAGCTTTCGATCCTCACTTTCCATCACCGACTACACACGCGATAGAACGACTTCCGGTGAGATATCACATCGGCTTTTTCCATATATGGATATCCTCCACTGACACAATCCTAGCAGAACGCAAAAGGTCCATTCCGTACAAGAGACACATGCCCCTTAAGAGTCACGCTTTACCCCCCAAGCTTCCGACACTCATCGAGATAGCCGGCTGGTCCTGGGAGGAGAAAGAAGGGGTCCAGAAACGCTTCGGATTAAGCTTTTATCAGCTTCTATCGGAAGTAAAGAAAATCGACAACGCGCGAAAACGCGCGGCACTCCAGCGGGCAGAAAAGTCAGAGAAGAAAGTCGGAGACGACAGTCGGAGTCCTGTCGACTCAGATAGTGACACTCCCTGCGCAAGCTCCGACTCTGAATGCGAGGATCGAGAAAGCAGTGCTGAATTGTCCATCGCCAAAGCATTAAAGGCGTCTTGCTTGGACCAGCCCTTCGGGCGGCGAATGGCATTGACGCCATAATGGTCCTCTTGTTCCGGCATGTTGATTTGGTTGTTGATTGCCCGATTTTCGTTGTGAACTTGTTCACTAATGATAGAGTCGGATGCTGAATTATGGTGCAGAATGAGGCTAACAATCCAATGCATTTCGTTCCAGGAGTGTGCTGTATACGGGAAGGTGATCCCGGGTATCAGTCTTGGCTTGAGCTGCGCGACAAGATACGACAGTACTTTGCAGCTGCTGCAACTTCTCCGGACAGCAAAGGATCTCAGCATCCCATGACCAGCAAGACCATTGAGATGGCGCTTGCGGCTGTGCGTGCTTTTTATGGTGACCGACACGTTGTCGTCGATGGAGAGCGAGTACACTGGCAACAGATACTACCTGGCAGAGCGGACTGGATCGTCGACCGCTTTTGCAGTCCTTACAATGGATGGAACCCAATCCTCAGTCACGCTGCTTTGATATTGGGAATCACCTCATGGTTGGACATCATACCATGTATCGGGGCGGCAAGACAATTTAGGACCTCCATCCTAAATGACAAAAGAACTTAGGTAAATTTAGTGTAACTGAGGTAAGTTTAGCATAACTCTTTAGACCATAGTTGGTCATCATGGCTCTTGACGATGACACCAAGAGTTCTATCAGAACGATGACTCTTCAAGGGGCTAAAGGGTCAATGCCCTCTCGAGCAACTCGGAACAAAATGTCAAAGCAAACAAAGAAACTTTCGAAAGTCTGGAAACATAAAGCAATGGTCAACAAAGCACCATTACCGAACAACAAGACAAAATCGTCGACCTGGAGGCCAGATTCACAATCCTCGAGAAGAATGGCGACGATCGACAAATTGAGGTGGCGGGAGTTGAGGGTGACATCAGTCACCTTAGATTCAAGCCAGATTAACAGGATCTCAAGGAGATCAAATAGAAAACTTAAGGAACAGATGAACATTAGGCGACTTGTACGGTGACACCTTACAAGTATTCGAGATCCGTGGCGCAGTTAATGCCATAAGAATGATCATGAGCCATTCCATTTCCACTCATTCAAAAAAGAGGCATTTCCATTAGGGATTAAGGCGAGTAAGGAGTGTCATAGCTGTGGGAGGGGTCCAGCCAGTGCAGTGGTAACTTGAATTAAGCTTGGCAACATTCATTACGAAGCACATACGTTTTCAATTGTTGAATTACTGCTATTGTTTGGCAACACAATCCTAAGTTTAGGCTTTAGGATCATGTGACCTTATATCTTCTATAAGAGCCCTTGTCTCTCCTCCCCTGACATTCCCTCTTCTTCTTCTGTCAACTACCCTTCTCTCTTCTTTCGTATACCAACCAAGTTCAAAGTTTATCTCTTTCACCGTACATTCTCGGGCTCTGATACTTGGATAAGCATCGATCGACCTCATTTGGTGCACGGCAACGCCATTCAAGTCATGGCACTTCAAGACGAGGACTGGGCATTTACTGCCTCGGGGATTGCCTACGACACTGGGAACTCCTAACGAGTCAAGCATTCCACAACCCAAGATGAAATTACCCCTGAGGAGCTCGACACAAAGAACGCGCCAACGTACGCACTGTCGTCCTCATTTCAAGCCACTTCTGTTGCTAATTTTCTCTATAGTGCCGGTCTTGTCCTCATCGTAGGCGAGTGCATGCAACTACCAGTCGAGATGTTCGTCGAGGATCACCTTTCGAAGAGGCCTGTCGCACCAAGTGTTGCTGAGTTCAACATAGAACGACACAAGTATGTCGCAAGGAGGCCGACTGCATTAGTCGTGTTCTGGCTCTCAGATGCTGGGAGGGATCAAATCAGATTTTTCACCCTCAAAGATAAGAAGGACGGTCTTTGCAAGATATCGCCATTATCGAATTTCCAGAAGAATATCAGCAAATTTGTCTGGTACTCAGAATTCTTCGTTCATCCGACCACCAATGCCAAGACGCAAGCCCCTTTGATTAAAAATACAATCAAGCAAGCTGCACAAGCTGCAAAAGCTCGTGTCGAAACTCATCAGCCACAACCAGTTCCACATGCTTCTGTACTGGCACCAAAGGACCTCGACGATCCACCAATCAAACCCCAAGATTCGTCACTATCTTGGGTTCAGACGGCCATAGCTGCATATAAGGATACCAAGTCCTTCAGTGCACTGGAACAAATTCATTCCGCAGTCCAGTATTCGAAAGGCTCGCCTAGGACATGGACAACAAGAAAACCCCAAGGCCTCTACCCTAAATGGCATAAAGACTTAGGTAAGTTTAGTATAACTTGTGAATAACGAGTCTAAAGACCCACTAAGTTATCCTCAACTTACCTAAGTTCTTTTGTCATTTAGCATAGAGATCCTAAAACTTCTTGCCGCTGCCCCGATGCATGGTGTGAAGCAGTTATCAAGGTTGACGATTCATTATCAGCGGCCATTGTCCACGCATATGAGATGATCGAGGGAAACATGGGCAGTCCGTTCCCTAAGTTCAATTCAGTAGCGCCATTGAACACGGACACGACTCTCTATCTTGCATCGGCTAGGGTGTCTTACAACAATTATCTTGTGAAGACGCTTGATAGCACGATTGCCTGACTCCATATCGATTGTCCGGCCAATGATCAGGAGATGCCAGTCAGCTCAGCAACACTGAGTCGATAGCTCGCAGAGACTTCAGACCTTTACATGGCGAAGCTGCCTGAAGTACCAAATTCGAGTTGAGGCCATGAAATCGATAGCATCATTGCGTTCCTTGCGTGATGCTCTTTCGAGGGACAACCACATTCACTCTCTAAGAAAGTTCGAACAACAGCCCCCCAAAGCTCCTTGATTGCATATCAAAGACGGCCCACGATCATTGGCGTTGTTCCTATAGAAGGGGTTAGCAGGAAGCATTGACAATCCCTAGATGTCATCTATTCGGATAGTCAATAATATGAGATCACTCAATGAAATCATGAAACCAATCGTCCCTGACGAGACATCTCATCAAAAGAATCATACAGGTGCCGTATCTGACAGAAAGTTAAATACACTGTAACAATTCAGATACTCCAGATAACACCCTATCTTCTTATGGATGTCCAGGGGGTAACCTGCATAATTCCCAGGATACTACACTCCCCTTTCCCTTTCCCTTTCCTTTTCTCTTTCTCTTGTCCTAGTTATACAGATTATACATATAGTTATAGATCTTACTTAATTGCATCGAGTCTCTGTATTAGTCAATAAGCTAGTAGATCAAGAAACCCATAGGTATAATACGGAGGCTTGGTATAAGTCCTTATTTTCTGACGAGTTAGTGATTCAGAGGCCTTCCGGATGACTTCCCATATATCCATTATAAAAGACATTACGTCTCAAACTCTTCCTTTCTTTTTTTTTACTCCTTCTTCATCTTCTCTACTATTCAGGCATATCAGTGGACGACGAAATTCTTTGTTTCCACTGCATCATACCAGCTATTATTCGACCTTCTTATCTACCAAACACACCCTCTGTTTTCGTTATTCAAGCATATCTATCAAGGACGAAATCCCTATTTCCGCTGATTCATCCCATTTATCAGATTTATCATCCACCGACCACACCCATTGTTTTTCTTCTGCCACGGGTAATCTATTGGACATGGCTGCGCAACAAGAAGAGGATTGGGCGTTCAGCTGCTCTGGGCTGGCCTACAACACAGGCAAGCCCGGACGAGCAAAGTCACTCGTCATTAAAGTCCGGCATGGGAACAGGAACTCAAAGGAATCCATTGGTTCCTTCAATAACCTGGATACTGAGGTATCTCAGGATGGTTTCAGTGACAGGGAGGTTAACTTTGATATGGGGACCACTAACATGTAAGAGTTGCCCGTCACTGACATGAGTGCCATTTGCTAATCCATAATAATAGCCAAGATCTCGCCCTCGTCGTCGGGGAATGTTTCGAAAAGGACGATGACGAGATTCTCGGTGAAAACTATTTGAAGAACACCCCACGTGCTAACAGTGTTCAGACTTTCAACAGCGAGGTCCATGCACACATCAGAACCAGAGAGTCTGCATTTGTTGTGAGGTTGGTCAAAGACGGAAGCAATAGAGTCAGGTACTTCACCCTCAAGAACAAGAAGAACGGCCTCTGCGAGTTCAAACCTCTCTCTTCTATAAACTACCATTTCAAGAAGTTTATGTTCTACTCGGAATTCGTGGTCGGCGAACGACAATCTATCCGGGAGATCCAACGAGCTCATATCCGCGATACTATTACCGAGCTACTAAAGGGAATCGTCGAAGATTTGGATAAACCAGACTCACTGGGGTCTTCGGGGCTGTCTGAGAGCGACCCTTCTTCAACCGCCCACCAAATATCAGCACCAGAGAATGAACCAACGACTTCGGCAGAAACCGAGTCTATGACAACAATGGCTTTCAATGGCGAGATTAGACCTCCTCAGAACTTTGATGGGTCCTTGGGGGCAGAAGAAGCTGCGCTGAACCCATCGAACTCAGAAGGTCACGTTGGGACAGTGGCCGAAGAAAGCATTAAGAAGATTCGACAGCTCGGAGAAGGTGGTATGACTATGACGGTTGCGACCGAATTTGTCCATGGATTCAAGGTAATTACTCTTCGCATCTATCCATTGATTGTCCTCCGTTGACCGAAAGAAGATCTTGTGGCCCGAGGCGATGACCCCTTTCACAGAACATATCGTCACACCGGAAGCAATAATCCAACTTGATACTGGCATCTCCAACGGGGCCCTCTCAATGGTGATTTCCCCAGCTCTGCCTGCCTCGACAATCATCGTTGACGCATTCCTTCGTACATTCATCTTGCTGTTCTGTGACAAAGCGTCAACCTCGACCTTCAACGATAATCCAACGTTGCTCGCAGATGCCATTGTACGCGCGTATCGAATTGCAGAAGCAATCGCTGGCAGCCCTTTCCAGTGAGCACCAGTCGATGGCTCTGTTTAAAAGTGGATATCTATCTATGGATGACGAGACAAGGGTGGCTGTTTACGAGCGTTGGAATGGCAAGCTGGGAATATGCAGAAAGGGGCTTGCTACAGTGATATTTCTACGTTTGAGGATTTGGGAAAGGCGACTGCTTCAAGACGCAGCCCAGATAGATATATGAAGCAGTCTCTAAAATTATCTCTTTTACTAAGGTAGTGTATAACAATTTGCTCCATATGTATATATTTACAGTCTTCATGCATGATGTGTATACTATATCTGAGGGTGTATATGTTATTATCTAGTCCAACAATGGTATCGGCGAATAAACCACAGCTACTGTCTGAACTGACCAGAAAGCCTCGATGTTATGAACCCCAGTCAGATTGGATGAAAAGATGTAAATTGACAACTTTACCAACGCCAAGCCCAGCTTAAGATATGCTCGGCATCCTTTCTTTCAGAAGTACAGATCAATAATGCCATTGAAAATAAAGACGTGATAGATTTCAACAGCGGCTGTCTCTCAGTTCATGAAGAAATCTGGGAGACGTCAGAGCCGTCTCTAGACCCAAATTGAGATCGTATCCTAGATCATATCCTCCATAGATACCGCTATGGCTCCTAACTTGTGAAACCCAAATTATGGGTCGAATTTTCGTTCGCGTCTGTTCCTCTCGTGTTCCTCTTAGTGTGTTGTAACTTGATGGAAGAGAGTGTCCGCCATCCCGTGCAGTGTTTTTGTAGTCCCACTGCATACGAGTAATCAACATCATCGGAGACCTCCCTCCAGTCCTTAAAATGCTATTGTATAGAAAGCAGCTGCATATTTCTAGCTGGCCAGAATGAGTATCATTAGCAAGGTGGCCAAGTCTCCAAGTATGAGACTCCAAGACGTACAATATCAAAATCCTTGGCTTGTTTCTGGTTCTATTTGCTACAAAAGGATAAACATCCAATGCTCTATATATAGCTTTGCTAGCTGGCATCACAGGAGTTACAGTGGGAAAAGCATATTAATGCAAACTTACCTTGCCCTAAATCGCGGCGACTCTGAAGTTGTGCGGCATGAAAAGATCTTAGGAAATTATTAAGATAGGGCAGAGTAGGTAGTTATTTTAAGTGACGGCTAAGACGATATTCACAGGATACCATAGCAGAAGGGGGGGTTAGATATATGCTATAAAGAGGAAATGCTGTTTATTTTATTTTATCACCTTTAATATTCTATAGTATTGAGCTAATATGATATTGCTGATAAAAAAGCAATGCAACAGCCTTTTCTGTCGCCTAACTGATGTCTAAAAACCCCCCTCTCACGCATAGGTAAAACTAAAAAAAAAGTCCTATGCCGAAGTTGCTTAGATTTGGAATGAGAATCTTCAAGCAATATCGACTCACAAACTCAGCTCTCCCAGGGGCCAGGGTGAAATCACTCGCCAACCCAGCAGCCTAGATAAGGTGCCTACCTAATCGTTAAGCTGCGTTCAAAGTTCCCCAATGTCAAACATATAATTATTGGCGTAATTATTAAGGGAAATTAGATACAGGCAAGTAAGTTTGCCGCCTGACAGTGTATTAAACATAAGGTATTATTTTTGATGTGTTGCCTAGATCTATCTTGCCGATATTGACAGGGTTTACACAAACTTGACACCCGAGGTTGAGGAAGCATGGAATGCCACCGAGACAGCACAGGCTTACAGGCTGAACGGAATGAGACGTAAGAGAGGCTAGAGAGGTCCGACAGATTTGACAGGGGGTTTGACTATTGGCAGATTGAAGCCAGCAGTCCCTGTCTAGGTTTTCTTCCTCGGACAATGGAAGGCATAACTATTTGAGAATGAAATGCTTTGGTACTCAAATAGCCAGACAGAGTTATATGATCATGATAGTAGCTTATGATGACCATTAAGAGAATTACGACTTAGACTCACAGCACTTTTGCTGTCACAAAGTTAATCTCTTAGCGGGAGCTTTATTCGAAAGTCATTCAAGGGCGATGTAGAGGCTATTGAATCGGTTTTGGGAAGGTTTAACTACCTAGGTCTATCCTGCCTGCCATTGGTCGAATGACGCGAGCCCCGGTAGAATAACCCCTCTAACTCGCTTTCTATTGGAGCCCTGGGGCTCCAGGAGGCAAGAAAACTTAAGACATCTATCCTAAATGATAAAAAGACTTGGGGTAAGCTTAGTATAATTTTAGTGGACCTTAGACTAGTTATTTTTGGCACCTTGCTGCTAGGTCAGAAGTTTTCTTGCTCCCTGAGGGGGGCTCAACCTTTCGGTTCCTGATTGTCTCTACCACACCGTCATACCTCGTCAACCTTAACCATCACAAGCCATCCATCATGTCGCAGAATTCAGTCGTCACTATAGACTCGAAGGGTCAATTCGACTTGATCCTCAGGTCATCACGCATAGTCATTGCTGACTGTAAGTAACTTCTTTCAATTTCCTATTACGATCCTTGCGGTAGTTCTGGAGATACCCCGCCATCCCAGCTGCGTTGCGACCTGCCTTTGCCTTCTCGCAAATGATGATAGAAGCTAACAAATGACTCTTCTTTAAGTTTACGCCGATTGGTCTGACTCTTCCAACCAGATCGCTCCTATCTACGAAAGATTCGCCAAAGACGTAACGCAGCCGAATCTCATCACGTTGGTCAAGGTTAACAGCGACAACCAACTAGAGCTCTCGCAAGAATACAAGATTACAGACCTGCCAACCTTCATCGTTTTCGCAGATGGAAAGCAGGTCGACCAGGTCCAGGGGGCCGATCCTCAGAAACTTAAGGATACGCTCATGAAAATACCAGCCTTGGCTGCGTCACTCAATGAGAAGACCGCCAGAGAAAACGCTGGCTCAGCCAGCAGTGGTCCCAGCTGGAAGGGTATGGAAGCTCCACGAGGCTACAACGACATCACCGACCAAATAGAGCTCCGTGATTTGGAGGTCCTTAACGCTGATGAGGGCGCCGGGACTGTTCGAGTTCTCTTCGACAGTTCCAAGCCAAGCGGTCTCGGTAACGGCAAGGGAACCTCCAAGGACTACGTGCAGAGCGGTGCAGATGACCAGCTGCTTTTGTACATCCCTTTCCAGTCCATTGTCAAACTTCACACTCTCCAAGTCAGTTTATTGGTCTTTCATGTTGCACCCGGTCTGACACTGACTAACCACGTGTAACAGCTCACTTCCCTCCCTCCCAAGGACGACGAAGATGTGATGAGGCCCGGCAACATTCACCTGTACATCAACCGCACTCATAACCTCGACTTCAATGAAGCCGACGATACCGAGCCAACACAGGCTATCGAGATCTCACCCGAGGATTGGAACGAGGAAGGAACAGTGAGCCTAAGCTTGCGATATGTGAAGTTCCAGAAGATATCGAGTCTTGTGATCTACGTTCAGCAGGGTGAGGGTGATGGAGAGACTGTTCGTCTCGACAGGGTGAGACTCATTGGAGAAGCTGGAGCCAAGCGCGAGATGGGCAAGCTTCAGAAGGTGGGAGACGATGAGTAAGACTTCTCTCATGGGAGTCCTGTGGTTCATAATGGAATCTCGGCGCAATTTCCATGTGCTCTAGCATGCATCGACAGGGAACAGGTAATAGGAGTTTAGGAGCAAAAGGCGATCCAAAAGACCGTCCACAGTCAGAGAATAGACAGTTTTTAACTCCCAAACGTTGTACAGCTCTGCGATTGCTGATTCTAGCATCTCAAACTTCCATAATCGAACAACTGAGACAAGTCTTACATATGTCACGAGATACAAAGATTTTGATATGTCCTGCCTCCCAACCACGACTAAGGTGTGTGAAAACACCAAAACCAGACGATGGTAGGGCGGGCCTGCAATTATGATTGATCTGGGGCATAACTGACGCTGCGATTACATCCACGGAAACAAGGATTCGAGCAACACGGGTATAAAAATTTCATGTTATGCCAGCCGCACGAAGAAGAAAAGAAGAAAAGAAAAGCTTTGCTTCAACAACGCGTTCGAGATTTTAAGCCGCCGAATCTGAGCATGGTCCGTGCGGGTTTGACCTGGTTAAAAAATAATCCGGTCTCCGGGCAAATCAGCTCTAGGGTAGCAGAACACAAAGGGTGATTCTAATACAGGGTGAATGATGCGTGCCATATCGACATATGGACGTGTGATCCTGACACATTCCATATGATTCGATTGGTGTGCATATAACTTCCTTCAATAGAGTGCGCAAATGCTCGCTAGACAGGGTCGATCTCTTTGTTGTTGGGCTCGATGATATCAATCAACCTCTTTTCATGAGCTCATGATGAGGATATACCAGCTGCTACGTCCACGTCATATCATGATGAGAATTCCATGGTCATCATGCCGATGACCGGAAATCCGTGGGAATAAACACCCTAAGATTCGGCGCCATGATTACTTCCATGTATTGTCCGTCATCATCAACTGATTCGCGCGGACACGGGATGGAACCCCGCGATTCGTGCAAAAACGACCCTTTAAGCTTCGTGATCTGCCACTTGGTGTACGTTATGCCACACATCAACCGAGCCGGAATATTCGAGCCACATGAAGCTTGTCGAAAAGCGCCGCTACAGATCATGGGGTGATTAAAGTGCGGCACCAGCTTCAACTCTCCTCTAGCATCATGAGAACTCTCGTCACTCGTACGCCTACGACTCACAAGCAAGTCCATTTCTTGAAGCCTGCGGGGTTAAAACGAGGAAACTGTCTGTACTAGCCTGCGGTGGGGAAGATCATCCGCCATGGGCTTTGTTGCTTTCAACAAACTACCAGCCGAGATTCGATCTATGGTCTGGGCATACGCCCTACCAGAGCCTCGAGTATACGAGATTCTTGACACGCCATTTTCAACGCTCAAGACCCCGGCCTCTACAGGGCTCATGTTCTCCAGCAGCTCGCATGATGCTCCCCCTGTACTGGCAGCCGTATGCAAAGAGTCCCGTGCCTTCGTGCTTCGTCGCTACAGGCCGCTAACACTCTCCGACACAATCAAATACATCGACCCAAACCGAGACATAATTCTGCTTCAGCCCTACCTCCTGATCAAACGGCTATTGAGGACTCTGCACTCTCTCGCAGAGGTGGACTTCATGAAGAGAGACCTGCGCCAAGTGGCATTTGGGACATCCTATGGGTTCAGTACTGGTATCTACCACCCCATACTAAGCGGGAGAGTATCGAAGAACAATACGAAAACGCTTGTAAAAAAGCTCGCAAGGTTCTCCAAATTAGGGAAAGTTTTATTTGTTGTTCATGAGGAATTCAAGTGTGTCAACTCAAAACCCCACAGAGCGGAGTCGCAACTTGAGCTGCAGCTTTTATCCAGCAGCTTCGTGAAGTCCCAAGAAGATGACCAGCCACGGACTGCTTGGCGTTTTCATCGGAACGAGATACAATATTATCCTCTTCACGTTGAGGAGTTGGAAGAGGACGAGCCTGACATAGAAAAATCCGTGTCAGATGGTGAGGATGACGACGTGGAGCTGAACCGTAAGCCGACGAACGATGATTGGAGACGATTCAGAAGACGCTTCCTGAAAGCTGTATATTCAACGCTGATGAAGGAGCTACGAGAAAAGCCAAGACAAGAGCACCTTCCTTTCCTGATTGAAGGCGCAAGTCTCTCATGGAGATACGAAGCATCATAAACGGAATTTCCCAGCGCCACGAGATCATCACCAGGATATCACGACTCAAGCGTTGGAGTTGCGCCCGTTACAACAACGGTAAATGTCGATCATTCGGGGCTATTTGAGTCTGGAGCCAAGGGAGCGCCAAGGAAGCGTCATTGTGTTGACACTATCTGGAGCACTGCCATCTTAGTTGCTTCGATTTGTGTGTGTGTGTGCGGAACAACACAACAACTAATGGCGGTAGATACCCGCACCCACAGACACGTTCTCGACCGGGCTCTGCAGTGATTTGGGCCATCCCTAACCTCTTGTGGTCCCAGTACGCGCGCCCTGCATTGGCGTCAAGGCTGCATGAGTTAAAAGAGCCTCTGGCAAGTTCCGAGCGAAAAGCTTGGTATTCGGTAGTGGTTGTTGGTGGCGCTCGGCATACGGATGCACAGACTAGCGGTTCAATTATGGGAATTGTCTGAGTGCGGTGTTTTCGAGAAGGGACTGTCCCTATTATGGAAGTTTTGAGAGGACATACAAAACAAGTTTGTCTCATTACCCCTCGGTAGATGCTATACCACATCCTGATCGGGAGTCCGCAGCGAATATGATTGGCCGAGCTACGAATGTACTATCTTTTTGCATGGATTGCTTCATGAATTGCCAATAAGAGTTAAGGCTCAAGACGTTGCTGTACCCAAGCAGTAGAGTTTCTAACGCATAAAATATGTTGGCATTTACTCTACGAAATGAGACGCCTACTCCTCACACTTCTGAGGTATACCAGCCAGAGAACTCTCATTGAATATTTCCATCCTTGGATGTTTTCTAGAAGAGGACCCTTGAACAACAAGGACAAACTTCAATGGCCAGCGAAGCTAGCCGGCATTGGCTTTCGGTAAGGTCACCGAGCTGGGACTCACCCTTGTCGAAGCGCTTGACTTTAATTGGATTAAATTTACGGTGTGCTCGGACTTATCGATATCTGTCATCGAAGAAGTGGATTTAAGCTCATCAAAACGTGCAGTAGTAACCTCAGTTGACCACTTAAACGATGACGTCTCTCAGCCAACTTCACTAGGCTCATCTCAAAGATGCAGGTTTCTTTGCAGTACATACACGAATAACCACCATAGTCACACATCTCCAAAACTCGACTTCGCCTAATATGCCCCCATTAAACGATAACGAGCTTGTTTTGACACCAAATGGCAGAATGACCTTGGTATCATCGACAGTGGCTTGAGCACGGTTGCATTGGCAGCAATAGCTAATATCGCCGTGGTCCGACAATGTTCGGGGCGTATACTAATGAGGTCATCACCATTGTCATTCACGCAACTATAGCTGCAAAACTTGCGTTGTTGCAAACACCTGGGCAGAATCTGTGGGTCGCTGTGTGTCAGAAAATCTACATGTTACATATTCCTCCTCAAACGGAAAAGGAGGCTGGGCGGATTTAATATGATCGGTGGTGAGGCTGTCAACTTTGACACCATTTCTGCAGCTCGCACCAGGAACAAGCAGAAAATCCACTGCATTCGAGACCAAAAACACGCAAAATAGACTCCCGACCATATCCGGAACCAGCCTAGGCCATGCCCAATATGCAGGGAACTAAGTCATCCAATCAGATTGAACCGGCGCCGAACCCTTCTCAACGGGTTCATATGCCGGGCATCAAAGACTAAAGACCACGGAGGAGGCGCCTTTGACAAGTTAAGTTCCCGTTCGCCATGCACAATCAACGGTCCGGCATGTCGTTGCCGATACATTACCGTGAGGCTCTATGCGGAGGTTGTTGTGCTTTCTATTACCACCACTATTGTCAATACTAACGTTCCTGTTGCCGTGCAAACTGAGCAACTCCCACTGGGCTTGCTGACCCCCCTGGCTCTCCACTGTTGTATCATATCCCACTTCATGATAGAATATCATGTCGTCTCTCCTGCCAGTCTTGGCCCCCGGCTTCCGGGCTGTCCGCCGGCGGTAGATGACAGGACTTACACAAAGGAGCACACAGAGGAGGAGTGGGAGAGGATGCGCGACGTCATCAGGAAGCTATATATTCAGGACAATCGCAAGCTGAACGAGACTATGGCAATCCTTCAGGCCAGGTATAGTTTCGCGGCAACGTGAGTGGGATACACGCATGTGGTACCAGCAAGGTCCAAAAGCTGATTCGTCTTTCAAAGAGAGCAGATGTTCAAGAAGCGTTTAAAGAAATGGGGCTTAAGAAAACGTACATATCGGAAAGGCCAACCTGGCTCTGCAGCTTACACTCCTCTGAATACTACTGAATGTTCTGGGACGAGTACATTTGACGAACAAAGCTCATCCTCATCCTCAGCTTCTCCAGAGGAACACCAAGATGAACCAACTACGTCTATGGCTCTTATACAGCCATCAAATACTGGCCCCTACTCTGATTTGGAACAGGTTCTCGGCGGCGTCTTCAACTGGAGTCAATCCAAACTAGAAATATTTCCTGTCATGTCAGATCCTATGTCAGAATATCTAGCAACCCCAAACTCCCCCCCTATCCGAGACAGTCGTACAATGTACCGCATTTTCGAGCTCGTTTTCGACCTTTGGTTTCACGGAAAGGGTGATCTTGCTGGTATGGCTGCACGAAGAGGGTTTTACGTGCTTGAATTTGTGTTGAGCGATGATCACCCCGACCTTATCTGGCATGTGCTAGATACAATCTACGATATGGTGGACCGAGGCCATCTTCGACTTTTGGGCCTTTTCTTGGATCATGCTACAATTCTCGCGAAACGACAGCTGCCTGCTCAACATCCGCTCCTCCTTATTCTCCAACAGCTCCGTAACTGCGATTATCAATCAGATGAGGGGAGGAAATACTTGTGTCATCTGTTGCGCCAAGCCTGGCTACGGAATGTTAATCTCTTGGGCCAACATATCGAAACGTCGGATGCCCATCGACTCTGGCTTTACGAACAACTAATTTGGGATGGGAGAACACGCCTACGTAGGGAAAGCGAACTTGGGAAGCGGCAAGATGCGATGTATCAAGCCCTAGAAAGGATGGCTGGAGCACAGAGTCAGACCTCATCTGCAATCGATGCGGATCAGTTACGAGTCGAAGCACTGCGACTTGAGTTTACACAGATGGATGTTGGTGACAAGAAGAAGGCTGAGGAGCTAGCCATCAATTTACTCGATCTTACCAGAACCGAACAAGGACCCAGATCCAACGATCGATTTCACGCATACGCATGCAAGATGTTGGCTCGAGTACAGGAATCGAGGCAGGAATGGGACACGGCCGAACAGAACCTACGGCATGCCATTTCTAAAAGAGAGGTAGCGCACGGTGCGAACAATAACCTACGAGTCATCCGCGATATGTGGGTGTTAGCAGCGCATTATCAGAAAGCTGGGCGACAAGCAGACGCCGACGAGATCACAGCTGATGCGTTATCGAGAGCCCAGAGATACTTGGAACAGGATGTCGAATAATCAAGATCATCAATGCACCATTCAGGAGTTATGTGTACAAAATGGGGTGGTTCGGAACAAAGCTATTAGGTTTTGGGCGTCATGGCAGAAGATACAGGGGGCGTTGAGAATTGGCATATGATTCATTCATGAGTAATTTCCACGGCAGTTACTCAGCGAGTATTGTTTCTGGTTTGTCACGAAAGAAAAGGACAGCGATGATTAGGAGTACCTGTTATCTTCCTTTGAGAAGACATTAGTTGGAGTTCTAGTTTGAGATACCCAACGTTCCATGAAGCGAATTGAAGTTGAAGAAGTTGATTTGATTGGATCGCCACATTGACGCAGGCACCGCCACAATGACGTTGACACTTCCGCGCTGGGATAGTTGTGAGGGCCTAGTATCAATAACACTCGCAATGCAGACCAACCTACCACCTGCAACTTGGCATATCCTCGTAAAGAAAATTGTAGACCTTTCGTTCGTTAGAATCGACTCCAATTTTATTGTCTTTTGTAACAATCTTTCTATTACATGAACTCATCATGACTGCTGGAGCTCCCCCGAACTACTGTAAGCTGCGATCATGACCCCACTACATGTGAATGCGCCAGAGTGACAACTGACAAGAACTTCATGTAGATGCCATTCTCGAGGTCTCTGATACTGCGACCACTCAGCAAATCCGAGATGCTTACAAGCGGTATGTCACTTTTTCTTTGTAGTTTCGACTCGCGACACCACTAACCTCGATGTTCAGCGCTGCTCTAAAGACGCACCCTGACCGCGTCTCTAATGACTCCCCAGAGCGAGCCGAACGGACACGAAAGTTCCAGCTCGTCAACGACGCCTATTACACCCTCTCTGAACCTGTACGCCGTCGCGAGTACGATGCTCAGCGCAAACTCTTCAACACCAGCACCCCTTCAGACCCCTTCGAGGACGTTCCTGAGACGGAAACTGAGGGTGGCGCTGCGCCGCGACAGAGCCCTTACTCCTGGGCATGGAACTTCTTCACCAACCAAGGCCAAGCCCCTGCTCAAGATCGCGAGCAAACCGAGGATACGCAGTTTAGTGATGTCTTCGAGGAGATGATGCGCGAGGAGGGCATGGCCGAGGGCAGGGACAACCACCCCACGGGCAAGTTCTGGAGTATGGTGGGTGGTGTCAGCGGCGGCGCTCTAGGGTTCATCGTAGCCAATGTGCCAGGTCTTGTCGCAGGAGCCGTTGCGGGGAACAGACTGGGAGCTGTCCGCGATGCAAAGGGTAAGAGTGTGTACGCTGTGTTTCAGGAGCTTCCCCAGGACGACAAGTCAAGGCTGCTCAGCCAGTTGGCGGCCAAGGTCTTCAGTCACGCTGTGGGTATTTAAAGTCGAAAACTTGGAACGGTTCAAGGCTGGGTTTATTGGGCGCTCTTGGAGTTGGGTCAGTATCGGCAAACACACGGATTTCAATGAGCCGGTGGAAGTTAGTACCTAAGTAGTTTCTCTGGAATACACGCATAGCAATCAATAAGTATAGATTCGGTGCGCGTTTCCAATACGTCTTAACGAGACTCGTTTCATATCGCGCAAATCGTCAATCTTATCGGTTTTCGGACTTGAAGGAACACGATTTCTCTGGCAGAGATATCTTACCATGTGGCTTATGTTATCCAGAATTTGCTTCGATCAACAGCAACTCAATCCCGCCGTATGCCAATGACAACCAAAGAGATAATGAACACTCATTTTGGACCATAATTTCAGCCGTTTGATCGCTTTTCACGACGTAGGGTTTTGTTTAAACAGAAGCATCAAACCCAGTTGCTTAGCTCTCTGCCAACCTCTGGGCTAGCAAAGGGTCCTGAGAACATCGAAGTTTGAAGCGTCAGCACGCACGGCACTTTTCTGACTGAACTGATGTCAGGTAACACTACTGTCTAAGACCACAGACTGATAAGCTCCAAAACCGAATCTGCTCAGCAGGAAAACGGGACCTACTTGTCAATTTCCTGGTTTTGCGGAAGTGGTGGCAGGGGATGAGATTTAAAGGAAAATATCCCGCACTCATCATCAGATAGTCAAATAATTTTAAGGGCAAGAAAAGTATCAAGAAGCTAAGATACTTGAATCTTGTTATAAACTTGATAGTTCTTGTTATAATGCTCATTCAGACCTGCTGTATGGAAAGCCTGACATCTTAATGACCATCAACCATAATTCCTCTTTGGGAAAAATTCAGATGAACAAGAGGAGATACATTGCTTCCTTGAAGTCTCTGCTATTTATTTTGAACACGGATGACTTTGAGTTACTTCCTCTATCCCTCGTTCTAGATGGAGCGGTTGCATATATCGTATTGTCCGGAACAAGAAATGGCTCTGGTTCGCGACCCATCTTTAGACAAAGCGGTGCTCATCTCATGATAAGGGTTTATAATTCTAGCACCCCAGCGAAATTCTGGAGTCGACCTTCACGGCATTCACAGACCAGCAAAGTTAAGTGGTTCAGATCTCTTTCGAGTCTTTGAAGACTCAAGCTTAGGTAAACAAATGTCGGGGAAAAACAGACCAGCAAAGGATTTCGCTCAAGATTGTCCACATTCTTTTGACACAATATATACTGTGGTAGTTTGACAACACCAACTCATAATCTTGGAGCGGCCTATTACCCTATAAAACAAATCACTTCTATTCCAATGCACCATCATGCGCCTCAAGTGCTCCGTAAAACGTCTTGGCAAGCTAGTTAACATTGATGGAGGACGGTAAAGTGCCATGAAGAAATTCACATACATTTTTGTGCCAAGCTCATAATCCCAACATTTATTCCAACCACGGCGTCTTGGTTCGACGAGCAGATAAGACGTTCTCAGTCTTGGTTACGATATCGAAGCCTCCTCTCAGGCTATTAAAATTTGCCCGAAGTAACCAGTGCCTACATAACCTATCTTCGGGGAGGAGGCTGGAATCCAGGCGGTGGGGGACCACCAGGGTTGAACCCGGGAGGAGGGAACTGAGCGCCTCCAGGGAAGCCAGCTGGAGGAGGAAAGTTTCCAGGGAAGCCAGGAGGAGGGGCTTGGAGACGGTTAGAAACTTTTCGAGGGTATCGGGACCTTTTGAACTTACCACCACGGCCGGGAAAACCAGGAGCACCAGGGAAACCAGGAAAACCAGGCGGGGGAGCACCACCAACGCCAGCAGCAGGACCCTAATAAGGATTAGCAATCAATCAAATAACTTCAGGGAAAAAGAAACACATACAGCGAGGGAGGGAGGGGCAGCTCCTCGGCCAGCAGGACGAGCAACACCAGGCCCAGCAGCCAAGGCAGAAGGAATTCCACCAGGAGCACTCTTGCCTAGTCGAGCACTAGGATCGGCGGGAGGAGGCGACTCCACGGAGAGGGAGATAATATGAGCGCCTCGAACGATCGTGAGGCCAAGAGTTCGCTTCTCCTCAGACTCGACGGTCTGGGTAGCTGAACCGCTTGCGCCAGGGGCAGAGGGCTTGTTTTGCTTGCGCTTCACGCGTCGAAATTCTTCCGTGTCCGCAAGTACAAGGTTCATGTGCTAAATTCTAGTCAGCCTTGATCTCAACAATGATGGCAGGAGATGTTGTACCTTATCAAAAGCAAGCATCTGACCGGTCATTGCCCTTCCATCATTAAGAGTAACCCGCATCCGCCAGTTGATCTGTTCCGTCCAAGTCAGCTTTATTGAACCATCGAAAAGGTGTGTTATTGGAATCGCATGCGCGTTGGGGTATACGTACGTAACCGGCCTGCGAGAGAGAACTGGTTAGCATATGGACATCAAGCAGCTCAAGACGCGTAAGAGTAGGGGTAAGACGAACCATCTTTCCTTGTTTGTTCGACATTTTGGCGGTATTCTGAGAGCGTGCTGGAGCAGTTTCTCTGTGTTTCAAAAATTGATGTTAGACCGCGGTGTATTTGCGCGCGATCGTAACAACCTTCAATGCCTGGAGCTCTGAAGATGAGTTATGAGGTCCAAAATCTGCGGAGCCTGATGCGGAAGGCTGAAAGGTACACCGACAAAGTACCATTTCAGCGCTAGACCACTTTGGATTAGTACCCGCCCCACTTGGCGCACCGACTCGCTTGAGGGCAGAGAAACCCTCTAAACAATTGCAAGCTCACAAAAATCTGAAAAATTACTCTTGCAACCTTCGCGATCTTCGACAACTTCATCACCAGGTCGACTAATAACAGCAGCCATGGCTTCCGAGAAGGCAAACAACCCCATGCGGGAGCTGAAGATTCAGAAGCTCGTTCTGAACATCTCCGTCGGAGAGTCTGGTGACAGACTTACCCGTGCCGCCAAGGTGCTGGAGCAGCTTTCTGGTCAGACCCCCGTCTACAGTAAGTTGCCCAATTTTGAATATGGTGATGCAATTCCATCTGACTGAATTTTTCAAAGGCAAGGCCCGTTACACCGTCCGAACTTTCGGTATCCGACGTAACGAAAAGATTGCTGTCCACGTCACCGTCCGAGGCCCCAAGGTAAATCCACACATGAATTTTGGAAATGGTAAAGTGTGGAGATGCTAACATCCAAAAGGCCGAGGAGATTCTTGAGCGTGGTCTCAAGGTCAAGGAGTACGAGCTCCGCAAGCGCAACTTCTCCGAGACTGGCAACTTCGGCTTCGGTATCAGCGAGCACATCGATCTCGGTATCAAGTACGACCCCTCTATCGGTATCTACGGCATGGACTTCTACTGCTGCATGACCCGACCTGGTGAGCGCGTCACCCGCCGCCGCCGAACCAAGACCCGCATCGGTGCCAGCCACCGCATCAAGCGCGAGGAGACCGTCAAGTGGTTCAAGTCTCGCTTCGACGGCATTGTTCGATAAACGGTTGGAAAAAAAATGGTTGTTTGAATTTACGGATGGTCACGGCGAACATTAAGGGGAAAACTCACATGGGACATGTATTTTCTGTTGCCTTTGCTGCATCAGCTTGACTTGAAATTTTCAGTCGAGCCACGGCCTGAGAGACCGACCGGCGCTCTGCCGGCTTTCCGATATTCACTATGAATGTGACATTGCCATCAATCGTCAGATCACTGGTACTTTGTCTACTTGGCCTCTCGTCTGTTTACGTCTACGCGAGACGTCATAAACATGTCCTTCGGGGACTTTGGTGTATCACTTCTTGTGTCCTTGATATTTTCTCCTCTTTGGAGGAATGCCACTGCTCCTGACCAACGTGTGACTGTTATAATTCTGAATTATTGCTTGCTTGTGATGTTACATCTCTACAGATTGATAGCTGCTTGTCAACGTGTCGTCACCGGCCAGCTTGTTTGTAACTCGAACAGAGCTCTGATGCTTTCGAAATCAACACCGCATGATGTGAGGGTTATTTGGCCTTGAGTTATCAAACCTGGGTGCGAAAAGGTCAACTCTGTGCGCCAAGCATTCACAACCGTTCCTTGTCAACCGATTTAGGTTATCATCTTCTCACAGCAGGTGGGCAGGCAACTATCTCTTGCGATACGGTTTTCAAGGTATTGGCTCTCAATTTCAAAGATCATTCTGTTTCGTATATAGAAGAGATCAATATCATGGTCTTTCTCCGGGTGCCTAAAAAAGTACCATAGCCGCCCATGGGAGGTACACAATCTCGAGGCCTTAATCCTGAGAGACAACGAGGCTGAGGTAAGTTTAGTATAAGCTTGGGACACTCTGTGACTGTTTGTTCTTGGGCGCCCTAATTCAAGGTACGAATCCATCTTACACTTGGAAAGCTGTACAGAAAGAAGAGCCAATATAGCTTTCATGGGTCAATTGTCCTATTGTGGATGCACCCCAGATTAACGGTATCTGATATCTCGGGGCACATGGGACCTCCGTCAACAAAAACCAATTAATGTGGAAGACCACAAGAAACAAGGCTTCGAAGGCCCTCACAAATGAGCTTTGAGATGGAAAATCTTCGGCGCAAGGCTACGAGATAATAAGCTTGCTCCAGTTATCAGCCACTAGAGCTTGTGATTGATCAATTGACGGGCAAAGGTTTGGCTTGACTTATTGACCTTGCCTCTGGTTCTCCAGCACTCGTTGTGCTGTTTAATTTGTTGCTCCATAGCTGGGCCAGGGGCAAGAAACCGTAGGACCTCGATCCTAAGTGACAAAAAGACTTAGGTAAATTAGTAAGAACTTAGGAAGGCTTTTTGATGAGTTTATTTGGGTTCCTGCGTCAAGGTCTGAAGTTTTCTTGTTCCCCAAGGCCGGGCCAGTGCAAGGCTCCACAACGAAAACCACAGCTTGATGGATCAAAGCTCTATGAAGCATCCCCCTGGTCTTGTACAACTGACTTGAACCTTTTGCAACCGCATATCTCAGGCACTAACTTATGGCACTTACCCGGGTAATACCGATCATTCGGCGGTACGGGAGTTGTCTGAGATGAAAGAAGTTGACTAGTGAGCACAATGGGGGTTATTGGAGTTTCAGAGATTTAAGATCTGATCAATTGGTGACACAGAAAGAGAGATAGTAACAATTGGCGATCTCAATCTTTTCCGCTCTCTTATCGATCTCACAGATTCTGTCGAACGTCAGCTCGGTGGGCGAAATGAAGCTCCGAAATTCAAGCGGGTGGAAAAACAAGCTAAGAAATTGTTAAGGCTGCTTCGGAATATCCAGGCAAAACCGCGCACTGAATCGTGATTGGGCCACCGGAGCAGCTGAACCCCACTCTATCCCTCAGACAGACTCTGCTCTCCATCACCATCCTCCTCAAAAATCTCCATTTGCTCTCCTGTAAAGGCAGCACCGCACTCCCCAATCTCCCCTCCTCCCAATTGCACCCGGCTGCAATTGCTCTCCTTTCATCTCCAAACCTCCCGTATACCTCTAATATGTTCCGGAACGCCCTTCGACAGTCGACGCGCGCCGTCGGCGCTGTCTCTGCTGCTGGCAGGGTCGCCGCGGTAAGTCAAAACGTGCTCTCCCGAGCCCCCGAATCGACAATGCCATCGACCAGCGCCCCTAAATATCGTGCATCCATCGACAACCCATCGAAAGAGCTCAATTGAGTAGTTGGATTATGCTTTTCAGTCTCGCATGAGCTTTTTTGAGCTATTTGGGGCCGCTGTCGCCGCTGACCGGTCGAGGACTTTTTCGGGCTTCGGCTAACTTGTTTTTCACCACCAGGTCCGAAATGCCGCACCCGCCTCCATCAACGCTGCCCGATTCTACGCCTCCGACGCCAAGGCCACTCCTACTGAGGTTTCTTCCATCCTTGAGCAGCGAATCCGCGGTGTTCAGGAGGAGTCCGGTCTCGCTGAGACTGGCCGTGTCCTCTCCGTCGGGTATGTGGATCTCTACTGGGAGCAACCGGAGCAAGGCGCAGGTGGTGCATGATGATCTCAAACAACAACACCACACCGCTGCCAATAGCCCGGACGCTCAGGAACGACTCAATTGATATGCAGCTGATACTAATACTCAACTTACAGTGATGGTATCGCCCGTGTTCACGGCATGGCCAACGTTCAGGCTGAGGAGCTTGTCGAGTACGTACTGAGCAAAATATGGACCAGTTCCGTCATGCATCATGAAGCTAACTATGTAACAGGTTCGCTTCCGGTGTTAAGGGAATGTGCATGAACCTCGAGGCCGGCCAGGTCGGTGTTGTGTTGTTCGGTTCTGATCGTCTCGTCAAGGAGGGTGAGACTGTCAAGCGTACCGGCGAGATTGTAAGCTTGCTTGAATATCCTGGACTATTCAGTTTGAATCTAACACAATACCAAGGTTGATGTCCCCGTCGGCCCTGAGATGCTCGGCCGTGTCGTCGACGCTCTCGGTAACCCCATTGACGGCAAGGGCCCTATCAACACCAAGGAGAAGCGCCGTGCTCAGCTCAAGGCCCCCGGTATTTTGCCCCGAAAGTCCGTCAACGAGCCCGTCCAGACTGGTCTCAAGTCCATCGACGCCATGGTTCCCATCGGCCGAGGTCAGCGTGAGTTGATCATTGGTGACCGTCAGACCGGTAAGACTGCCGTTGGTCTTGACACCATCCTCAACCAGAAGCGATGGAACGATGGCCAGGATGAGAAGAAGAAGCTCTACTGTATCTACGTCGCCGTCGGTCAGAAGCGATCCACCGTTGCTCAGCTTGTCAAGACTCTCGAGGAGAACGACGCCATGAAGTACTCCATTGTCGTTGCTGCTACCGCCTCTGAGGCCGCTCCTCTTCAGTACCTCGCTCCTTTCACTGGTGCCTCCATCGGTAAGTTTATGGCTCCTTCCCTCCTGGGTCATAGGAACATTTTTCAGTCGAACATCCACCACGCACCCATCAGATTCACATCAACATTTCATGAATTCTCAAATGCTTTGTTCTCTTCAGCGTCGACTTGTTTTCTTCAATGCTTATTAAACTCCATTACTGACAAGAAATTTAGGTGAGTGGTTCCGTGATAATGGCAAGCACTCTCTCGTCATCTACGACGATCTTTCCAAGCAGGCTGTCGCTTACCGACAGATGTCTCTGCTTCTCCGACGTCCCCCTGGACGTGAGGCTTACCCCGGTGACGTTTTCTACCTGCACTCTCGTCTGCTCGAGCGTGCCGCCAAGATGAACGACAAGCTTGGTGGTGGTTCCATGACTGCCCTTCCCGTCATTGAGACCCAGGGTGGTGATGTTTCTGCCTACATTCCTACCAACGTCATTTCCATCACTGATGGTCAGATCTTCTTGGAGGCTGAGCTGTTCTACAAGGGTGTCCGACCTGCCATCAACGTCGGTCTTTCCGTCTCTCGTGTCGGTTCCGCTGCCCAGCTCAAGGCCATGAAGCAGGTTGCTGGTTCCCTGAAGCTTTTCTTGGCCCAGTATCGTGAGGTTGCTGCCTTCGCACAGTTCGGATCCGATCTCGATGCCGCTACCAAGCAGACCCTCAACCGTGGTGAGCGTGTAAGTTGAATATATCTCCGCACAACATGACAAGGAAGAAACTAATCATTTTCCAGCTTACTGAGCTACTCAAGCAAAGACAATATAGCCCCATGTTGGATTGCCCGTCCTCGCAGCTGTGTTCTGATGCTAATTTTTTGATAGGGCTGTTAACGAGATGGTTCCTCTCATCTTCGCTGGTGTCAACGGTCACCTCGACACCGTCCCCGTCAACAAGATTCTCCAGTGGGAGTCTGACTTCCTTGCTCACCTCAAGACTAACGAGTCTGAGCTCCTTGCTACCATTGACAAGGAGGGTGCTATCTCCAAGGACACCGAGACCAAGCTCCGTGACGTCACCCAGTCCTTCGTCAAGAGCTTCCTCGGTTAAATATAATCAAAAGCAACTTACGCGGAGAATAACGGGGGCCTTTGGGGATGTCGCTGTCTATACCGAATATTTGTTGTCGCTTTTCTCTCTTGAGGCGGAGGGAACATGTCGAGAGGTCGCGCCTGAATGGAGCGACGGGAATGAGATGAGGGAGATTCTCCTGTAGCATCGTCACATGTAAAATAGAGCTTAAAACTCAATCAATGTCCTCTATTCTTTTTGTTCTCCAGATTTGCAAGCTAATTATGCCTACCCGAACCTCATACGCAGACCTGAAACCCAAATCGATGTGGAATTGAACCTCACTCCAATCGCCATATTTGATCGCAAACTTTGACGCGACCATGCCTCGGGTTGCAAGGAGACTAAACATGTTTCTGTTGATCTATGTAAACGTCAGGCTCCTGTTGTTATCTGCAAACGCTTCCATAAGTTAACTTTACAAATTCTCTCCCTCGTATCTAATTGATCTTAAAATGCCCCCCACCTGCCTTCTTCGCACAGAGTCTTCTGCCCGCTACCAGCTGTCCTCTCCGTACCTTACGTGACCGGGGAATCGACTATATATACCTCTTCTCTTCACGATTCAAGATCCCTTTCTTCTTCCTACATACACTCCTATCTTTGCTCGTCACAACTGACTCTGGACCTACGCTGCTGAGGCTGGATACCTCAAATGCAGCACAATAAAAAAATATATTGTCAGGCAACATTACCAACAAATACAAGCCCTATCCACCAATTGATATTAACTGCATCGAAACATATAATATCGGGAAACGTCATATCTCTCTTCACCGCCTCAAGATTATGAGCAACTACTTGCCGGGGTTGGTCATCTACGTGATATAGGTCACTGCTGCCTATTTAAAAGTGAGGCACTCGTCCTTTTCATCTGCGAATGCTTCAACAAAAACGCTGAAGAGGGACACCATCAACAAGCCAACGCTGGATAGGCTATATACGGACAACGTAATGTGTAGCATTTTGATCCCCCAAACGTATGGTACATGTATCCCAGTGACTGCGTTCGTGGTCGAGTCGATTGACGACTAAGTCAAAGAGACTAGGTTTCTTACCCTTCGGAAGAAGTAGAAGAATCATGACCCAGGTAAAGCTTAGTGGAAAGGGTGATGGGCGAGGGTTCGGAATAATTATCAACGACAGATGCAAATAGTATCGACAACGATATCTGCTATATACTAACTTTAGAGATAGTAACTTTTACAAATGATATTACGGCCCATACTGAGAGCAAATTAGATCAGTAAAATGCCAGCAATGGCCCTTTTTGCTCTACAGCCTCTTGTATATACAGCTCTAGCCAGTGATTTGAAGCTTGATGTACTTCTGCTTGATGGTCTACAGATACATCGTCGCAGATAGTCCAGTTGCAACTCTCTTGTTGGAGTATACACAGGCCTCGTTTCTGCCAGCGTTGAAAGGAATGGCCACTGTCGTCTCCATAATAATGTGACACGGTATTATATGTCTTTTTGTTGGTTCAAGAGAGGCGTCGAAGAAGACGATTGCGTCGCCTATGTTGCTTCCACGTTCCAGCTGGCTGATTAATTGGTGTGCTATGATGAAGTCCCCGAAGGAGAGACATATCGTCACAACAGTTACCAGCGTCGCTTCATGGCCAAGTAGATCGATCACTCTATATGTTGTACGTCGTCACAGATGATCCAGTTATAGCTTTGACCGGTTATCTCGACCTAATGCCCTTCTTTTCGGAAGCTCTTTTCAGATTTACCCTCAATTGGACTCGCTATTCGACTGCTTTATCTTTGACTTCGTTATCATTTCCGTCAACTTCTCGAATCGCTTGGCTGGGCACTCTGATCGCGAGCGGTTACCGGCATAATTGAATGATGAGATTGAGAAATCTTTCCATAGTCAAGCCGTTGCAGTCCCTGCCGTCTTGTATAGCATGCCAGTCTCTCTTGTTGAACTACATTTGAGTGCTGATGTTACTGCTGGTGTCGTTCAAGATAAACGGCCCCTACCGTCTCTTGAGTATGGCGATATATCCTCATATATCTTTTTACTAGTTTCATGGCGGCGTTGTAGAGATTACCAGTGTCGCTTTATGCTTCAACTAGTTGATCAACTTGTAGAACACTATTGCCGTCGGTCTAGACAATTTCGGTCTTTTCGTGGGAAATCATATCGATGTTGTCGTGGGGAATCTGTTCGGTCTTGACTGGAATGTTCCTTTGCCATACTTCAGAAACGGCATCGACCTCCGGATTCTCTAGGACTAAAAGTGCTACTTATTTGGAACCCATTTGCTGTTGTACAGTTTTCTTCGAGCTTCCGCTCGTCGTAACCCTCTCTACGAGACCAAGAGAGCACAGCCATTGCTTTCCCCTGGTGGCATTCACGCTATCATATCTAAACCGCTCTTGTAATGTTATTTAATAGTCTTTTGGGGGGGGGGTCAAGTCTGTTGTGCTGCTTCAGCGTCCGCTATTTGTTATTCACCCCTGCTGAAGACCTATACCCTCTATGAGGAGCCAACAGCCCAGATTCTCATCCTTGTATTGATGCTTAATGATACTGTTGTAGTATAGTATCTCTATTATTCTCTAGCAAGTTTCCACTAAGTAAGACCAAAATGCAAACTGATGATCTTCTTGGTTTTGTTTCTCATTGTCTAATCTGCGGATACATGCTAATGTGTTTATTAGCTCTTATAAATAACCAGACGGTTTCTGAACTTTCCGATATATGAGAAATAATATTAAAAATAAGATTTAACAGTAAATAAGATACCATTATTTAATGTTTAATAAACATACCAAGTCAAGTTGTCCCGGCTTCTTGGGTACCCTGGACTTGATGTTCGATAGCTTATTTATATCTGATTCAATATGAAGCTTTCTCAGATTTAGATGGTTTAGACCTATAAAACTTGCTATAGCCTCGTTATGCAACAAGATCTGTCAAAGAAAGGGGAATTGTACGGGCGATTTCAGGAAGATTGGTCAACCTGAAAAGCAACGGATGACACTCCTAATAGTTCCAAACATGCACTATGTGCTCCCGACACCATATATACGAACCTCCTTTAGATAGGGTAGCCTTGTGGCTCTCACAATGGTCCCCAACGCAGTTCCCCAGTGAATGCAATGCTTCATCTGGTCAATAATAGTGAGTCAATATCGTCTCGTACACAATGGATTGATATGATCATCTATCCAAACCCCGGAAGATCCCAACCACCGAGTTCGAGGACCGGAAAAGCTGCCAGCACGCAAGAGCAGCAAATCAAGGAACAAAAGTAAACACAAATATTGCAGAGCCAAGCCAGCGGTGCATCCGACGTCAAACTTGACAGTCAACAACACATCTGGCAATGTCTCAAGCTGTGGCGCTCCGGGTTCCTGCGGCAGCGAGGATACTGCAGGAGTAGAGTGTCTAGGCCGTCGTCGTTCTTGCGACAACAACAAGAGACAACAAGGATGCATCATGTATGCATATGCGAGGCATTGCATACCCTCAAGGAACTGTTGGTCGAGAGACCAGGCTCTTACAGTAGCGTATGCGTATGTTTATCTGTGCTTTTGTTGAGTTTTTCGTGCCGTTGCCACTCCCGCCTCGCGTGGCCGGACCAGATCCGCGTGGATAACGGCGGAACGGATTGATACGTGCCGTGTTATTGGGGCTTGTGGAGTGGAGATTGTCGGGGCTTGATGTGAGGGAGAAAGATGGAGCTCAGTCGCTATTTATTTCTGTCCTTTACCTTTCTGGAAGCATGCATGAAGCAAGGGAGGGAAGATGAAGGATTTTCTTCCGCGCATATACACGAGGACAAGAGGGATTTGCCGAGACTCGGACAAGCCGCGTATCGGAGCAAAACTGGAGAAGTTTGAACTTTGTCTGCTCCAACAAGGACTCTCTCTTACATGTTTTTGAGTCAACTTACTAAATTTGCATCTCGCCCTTACTATCTGGGACTGTAAGGTAACCTGTCTGATATAACGCCGCATAGGCACATATATAGATGCAGCTGCCGGAACTGGGTTACATTGCTGTATCGGTCAGATTCTGGGCTCCCATCAATCTGGCATTTCCTTTCTGTCGGGCCTGTCACTGTTCTGCAAAGAAACAGCCCTTTCCAAGATCCAGCACACGGCTCTGCTTTGGACAGGCATTCCCTTACCAGTCAGTTGGATAGTCATCCCCAATCAAAGGAAGACTTTGGGAACTGACGAAGTGAAGCAACGCAAGCCCGTGTCACACAAAGATGGTTTGCAGTGTTAAGTAACACTCCCGCAAGTTGCCGTAGGCCGCTGATGAAGTGGTTCCATCAAGGTGGCCACAGACATGATACATGACAATATGAAGTGAGATGATCAGCCAAAGCCAAGTTTCACTATCCAAGGAGTTCTCATCTATGCTCTATGCACTCTGTGAAATGTCTTGCATTTTGAGGTAGCTGCCCCAACTGTTCCGTAATATCAAGAACAAAAAGCACCAATACCGTGGATAGCCAATCATTGTAGTTCGTGCGTGCTGTCGATGTTTCGTTCAGTCTGGTCAACTGCATAAAGAACGCAGGAAGGAAACCATTGCCTAGTCAAGCCTCTCCCTATTAAACAACACATTGAAGGAGTTTCGGGCTAGTATGTTTATAATCTTGTTTGCCCATCGTGCGCCTGAACCCATTGCTTCTGAGTCTTACAACAGGCAGTGGCAAGCCTCCAAGAGGTCTGACAAGCTGAACACAACTTAAGAATAGGATGGGTAGGACAGAAATCCAGTGCCATCAAGGGGACGACAGAATAGACGAAAACCGACTATCATAAAATTTAAGTTTAGTCCAGACATATTATCAGAGGCAAGGGCAAGCATAAGGGATTATGAAGGGAGCGTGAATAAGTTGGACGCTGTGCACAAAACTCCTTTTTTGCCACTCATGACCGAGCCGGCTAACCACTCTGCCACTGACTTCTGTGAAACCTAAAAAGTTTGAGTGAGACACTATGCATCTTTCTCAAGAAGCTGGCTGTTACTTGTCGCTTGTCTTTGTGAGCGACTCAGGCTCGTATGACCCAAAAAGCAAGGGGTAGTCTTGTCAATAAGACCGGATGTCATTGGCGGGGTAAGCACGACTCGGATCCGGCCATTGAGGTCTTTGATTGACGGAGGCGAGTCCTGAAAAAGCCTAGCAGAGACGCCAACCAAGGCAGAGGAAGTGAGATCTGATGGGAGATCTGTCATAACAGACGCAAGAAAATATGAGTTTCTCTCACAAAAGGTCGCGAGCCTGCTAGGATCGTCGTTTCCGTAGGTAGAGAGTTGGTGAGCTTCTAACTTTCTCTCACGATACATAGCTTCTGATTGGTCAGGCAGCCATGAGCCTCGAATTGCACATACCTGGGGTTATGCTTACGAAAGCTAGTATCATGTGATTTTCACACGTTTGATTGGGAACATCTGCCGCAGTTCATTACGTCGACAACTGCAGGCTTCTTTGTCTGATGCAGCACCTGTTGACAAGGGTAAATGAAGCTAGGAAGGAGCATCTTTCTTACTTGAGGATAAGATGCTATGATCCGAGGTGTACGGCCTGACAACCATGACAGGCGGGGAAGCCCCATGCACTCCGCCACCAAAGAGGGCCAATGAACAGAGATGAGAGAGACAAAAGAAGCAATATGGACCCCACCCTTCCAGGGTCCCTGTGAACAAAGAGACAAGGGCTCGCCGAGAGCCATCGTTTTTGAAGTTGAAGTTGACTCCATTAGAGCTTACAATTGACGGAAGGTCCGTAATGATTGCCAGGAAGGGTGGTATTTGACTCTTTGTACGGAGTACGCAGAAAGTGTTTGGTCTTACCTTCATACCAGCCTTGTGTTTCGAACAAACTCGAACATTGGGTTGCAACCAGGAGCCCTTTTGGGGAACCAGTGATGGGGGACTCTTGCTCGTCCGCCAATGGCTTGTCGAAAGCTCGCCCAGTTGCCCTCATGAGGGAACATATTTTACCGCTGTAAGTAAGATATTTCGTCTGCTCAGGACTATCAAGAAGAAGAAAAAGGTTTAGGGAGCGGAGCTCATGATATGCTAAAGTGTCCACCCTGGCTCTGACCCTGGCTTCCACCAGATCCTGATGCTCGTCTGAGACACGAACCGTATGTGTGCCTGTGCGTAATCTTGGCCTCGGCAAACTCGTAGGACAATAGACGAAAGAGTAACGCTCATGGCTACATGTAACTGGAAGTCAAAGCAATGAGCCAATAGATGTGGCTGCAACTCGGTAAAAGGTGGACAGCAATGAATTTCGAGACATCAATTGAAGGAGTGCCATGAGGCTCACGATAGTATCACCCAAAGGTTCAGTGACAAACCTAATTGCAGAGCGTCAACAGAATTGTCGCCGTATTTTTGATATCCACACGTAACTAGAAAACCACAACTCTTTACGGAGTGATGGGTTACGGTGTTATACCCGGCTATGCAAGGAATTTCCGTTAGTTCCTTAGACGGGTACAGAAATCATGATATCTGCCTCGAGCCAAGGGCTGTTTGGGACACCATTTTCATGAGAAATGCCTCGCTCGCAGCGCCGCACTTTTAACAGAATTGTCTAGGGTGCAAAGGGTCTTGCGATGGGCCCTAAGCTGATAGACTCCGCCCTCGACAACAGAGTTCTTCGTGTCTAATACGATAAGAAGCAACAGATTCATCGCGCGTGCCGGGACTCGATTTACCCTTGATGGAAGTGATCTGCTCTTGCTGATAACCCTCACGTCTTGGAGCTTCCCGCGGCATACAAAGATTCAGCTTGACAGGCCATCATCTTTTCAGCCGCTTCTGTATCAATAACAAACAAGGCAAATTTGCGAATAATTCCACTTGAGAGACAAAAGATGCCAGTGGAGATTTGCATATGACTAGAAGCAGACATTTTGCCTGCGAGACCGGAATGTTGGCATATTACCTAGCTAGCCAGATTTTTGTCAGAATCGCATGTGAGTAGCGACGACAACGCTAGGAAGAGCTTGGTTCACTCCAACGGGAAGAAAAAGCAAACCATCCACCGTTGGCCCAGGATGCTGTACCGTATCGTGGGGGAAAACAAGCCGCGGTCTGGTCTCTCGGGGAGAGATCAAGGAGCCGCGCTCCTTGCAGCGACTAAATCGATGGCCCTTGTTAGTTCGCACCGGCAGTGGTGTCGCTTTCCCATAACATATACTAACATTATCACAGCGCAACAAACCCAGGCCTTCTGGTCTACGGAGTGATGGATCAGGTTTTTAGATGTGTGGTGACATCAATGACAGAGCTTATGATTCGTCGGATAGGGAAAGGTACCCAGATGGCGAGCAAGTCAATTGCCGTGTCAAGACGATCGAGTCGCAGAAAGGCAGGGGTGAAGAAGAGGCTTGGGTCAGATATAGGTGACAAGGATAGAGAATAACATTCTCTTCGAGTATCGCCATTGTTTGCTTATGCTCAAACTTGACTTTTCTCTCTTCTCATGAGTAAGCAAAATATCGTAGGGATATCTCTGGAGTATTCGAAACTGGGCAGAGTGTGGCTATTCTGCGGGCACTCGGACAAGCATGTCTCTCGCAAATGTCTCTGCTGCGCGTGTGCCCGTTTCTATTCTTTAAGGAAAAAGAAACTACAAGCAACTCTCAATGGATGCATCCAGGCGTTATTGAGGAGTTCTTAACAGGACTAGCCCAGGTTTGCAAGGGTACTGGGGTGCTGAAGTTGAAGGGAGTTCGTGCCCTAGGGAGAATCTGGAGGGAGTGCAGGGGAGTGGCGTCAGCTATGGGTGTGCTCAACCGCTCCAAGTGGGGCCGACAAGGGCGCCGGCATCCCTATCCCTGCTCCCGCAGCAGCCACAAACGTTTTACCCTCCAACGTCCTATCGTTGGAGCTGGTCATTCCTTACTGAGTGATGCTTAAAGTCTCCCTTAGGCCCAGAGTTGTTTTCTTTGACGGATGATGGTAGAAGTAAAGGTCGTTCCTGTTGTTTGAAATCATTAAAATTACAACATACTTGACCTTGTTTATTCATTTCATCTCTGACTGCTCATTTGCATTACCGGCAGTCGTAGTGGGAGAGCTACGGTTCGTCCTTGGTGGTTCTTGCCTTGTACAACACAAACCCAACCTCAGGTTCCTTCCCTCTCTTCACTCGCTCCGTTACACCTGCTGTGCAACCTTCCTCGCATCTTACCGAATTGCATTTCTTTCCTCTCACACCTCACACAGAACCATCTTATTTCCTTTTCTTCATTTACAGCTTGCAATATCAACATTGAGATCGCTTGGTACAAGGACAGGAGCACACTATTCCACTGTTGCGAAGGCCCTAGGGCTCTACACTGTTGCAACTCACAACACAACCCAGAGCAACAAGGACGAGTACAGGATAGTACAACATCAAGCTCGACAGAAACCTACCCATTCCGTGCCTGACGCTCCCGAATCATATCAAACTTCAATCCAGTTGTTCTTCGAAAAACAAACCACATCGAACTAACGTCTCGAAGAGCACGTAGCTCTGCATTGGGATCCCAACTCGTTGCGTCCGCCCTTGTGGCCCTGAAATATTCTGCTTCCTGCCATCCTCCCTTCGTCACTGTTTGATACAGTCACACCCGAATCAGTCTCGAACATCTAGCGCCATTCAGCTTCAATTCCAGTCTGAACTGTTTTGCCTTGTTCTCACAAAACACCAGTTTCCACCACGAGTGGCTCTGATTCACCTCAAAGGTCATTTTGGCTTACAACTCGCCTCTTCATTTCCTCCATTGATAGGCCTTCACTACATCAGATCTGGTACGTTGCAACCCAATTTTTTCCATTTCGTGCGCCTCTATGCACGAGGTGCGCTCAAGATTATCTTTCACTTCACTAACACAACTCGACCCAGGCATCCTGCGCAACGTTGACTTCACCTTTTCACTGACCAAAGGTTCAATATGGCCAATGGTTTCGGGAGCCTCGAGCGCTTCTTCGCCAAGAAGAAGACGCCAGCTGCCTCAACCGATTCAGTTGAGCCTACTTCTATTCCTCCAACAATACCTCAGTTTCCTTCACCTTCTTTTATTCGCCCCAAAACAAGTCGTATGGCGGCGCGAGAGGAAGTGAGGAAACAATCTGGGAATCGAGTTCCATCTCTAACAGCTCCCCTTTCTCCTCATCGAGTGGACTTAATGAACGCCCAAAGCCCTACGCGCTTCTCGGATTCCCATAAGTTACAGTATTCCCCTCTCAAGGCTTCTTTCATGCCCACACAAGACGAGTCCTTTTTAGACGACTTTGATGTTTATCAATTTCCGCGACCTCCAACTCGTCAGGGAGAAACATCTGCTTCTTCTACCTGTGATCCGAAATCATCCATGGAAGCCCCTAGTGAGCGCAGCCTTCCATTACGACCTTCGAGAAAGCCTGCTACCAGAACATCGCGGCTGGATACTCCCCCGTCCTCAGACCTGGAAGATGAGGGTGCCCGTAGCCCTCAATATTTCCGCGACAAGAAGCTTCCGGCATTACCTCCCCAGAAACCTCCGACACCAGACTCTTCACCAGAGCTTCGTCCAGTTCACATTGCTCAACTTAGAGCATCCAAGTCTATCGACTTTCTGAACAAGGCAGTTTGTAGGGACATCCGCCGCCATTTTGCCAAAACTCTGGATCAGAGGCCACTTCGAAAAGCTATCAGTCAGACTAGCCTAGAAGGCACAACAAACACGCTCTCCATCAGTAGCTCTACGCTCCGAGAACCAGACTTCAACGAGTTTTTCAACCTCAGTGATGATGACATTGCTGAGTCGGCTCCCGCAGATGCGGATGCAGTTGAGACATCAACATATGCCACTGCTCCTTCTGCCCCTGATTCTCCTCGTTCTTCCCTCCTGACACTCACCCCACCTTATGCGAGCAAGCCTGCAACTGCTGCAGCATTTGAGGCGGCTAGGATTGCCAACCGCTACAATTTCGATCTCGTTTACGTGGTCAATTTATGGACTGACCATGATCGAATTAATACTCAAAGTCCTACCAGCATGAACTCCCCAAGCAAGAAATTTGAGCCCTTGTCTGGTCGCCTCCTCGCTGCTTATGGACTGGAAAATGTTAACATGCCTTTCCAAATATCAACGACAGCTCATAGCAAGATTCTGAAGACTCCAGGATGGATCGAGTATCGAGCAAAGGAGGTCCGTAATGACGAATTTGCGCGAGGTTATGCTTGTGCTTTCTACACTGGCGACTACTCAAGAGGGGGGTCCGTCATCTCGAGAAACTCATCTTCTTCAACATGCTCTGTCCAATCTATGAACACTGACCGTGGAATCATTTTCGCGGCGTACCGAAAGCCGCGAGCTGACGGAAGCTTACTTGGAATCTCTTCTGGCCCTGCGGATCTTGTCAACGTTCATAAGGATGCGGAGGCGCTT